TCTCTTCGTAGTTTCGGCTATAGGTTCCTCCTGACCTTGGTTTCCAATACTAGCTTTTGTAACCTAGCTAGCTTACGCCTAGTCGTTGTGCAATCAAAAAACTGTTCAGCTAGAACATAAAGCTAGAACTATTCTCTCCTGCGATGTGCCGAATTGCCAATACACGGCTCCATACAGTGGCAACTATTGAAAACACCAATTGTCAGCCCATGGAATCTCAGTTCCTGCAAATGAAAATCCGAGCGATGGGAGCGGCCAGAAGAAACACCGGTGCGGTGAATGCGATGCAGCATATGACTCGAAAAAGAAGCTATAGGAGCACGTGTAGAAGGAACGCAACCGAGGAGCGGGTACTTCAAAAATTGTGCGCAACGTTTGTGAGTTTTACGTCGTCACGCAGAAAGAGCTCGCACTGCATTATCGCGGACAACACATCCAAAAGCCTGTATAGTTTTTTAATAATAATTTAACCCATCTACTCACGAGGTGACGATGGTTATGATGGAGGATATTGACGTCTTCAAGCTGTGGCTCAAAATCACCGAGAATCGGACGTTCTCATCCTTCAACGTTCGTCGCACCTCTGGCTTGAATACTTACTACAGATGCACTTTTGCCGTCAGACGTCTTCGGTATCTAATGCCGGGCAACAGTGTTGTACAGCGTTTGTTCAGGTTTTCCGATGGCCCGTTTTCATTGAAACAATTTGTAAAGTAAATTAAACCACTGTCTTGCCCACCGGAGAAACCTCCGTTAAGTATGCTTACCATACGCATGACTTTGACCCTAAATTGATGAGCCTTGAAGTCTATAACCTATGAAACTACTGAAATTCTTCAGCAAACTATCTTTCTTCTCGCAATTGCCGACAAACATGTAAAGTTGTAAATTACGAAAACAAAATGAAGTTCCGTTGCAATACACCATACACTTGTTGGTAAATAGGCAGGAAAGTACTGGAAGTTTGCTAAAGCGCGCTCCGTACTCGCGGGCCCAGAGGGATAAAAACCGGCCCGTGGACCGTCTACTTCTCCGTCATTTTTTCAGATTTCCGCCCTTCGATGGAGAATCGGCGAGAAGAGGACCAATCCGAGGCGCTTTCCATGAAAAGCCAGGCAGCAGTCGGAAGGGAATGGTCGTGGATGGTTGCATTTTAGCCTGTTTTGCCTAATAACTACGAGGCCGCCTTTTTTGAAGCAGCGTTGAGGATTTTTTCGGATGCCAATCTTGGTCGTTCGGTGCCGCCATGAAAAATGAATAGTTTGACGGGTTTCTAACGAAAAATTGTATTTTTAGGGTTTTAAAGTGCTGGAAAACGGTTGCATTCGATGTAATCCGTTGGGAATTATCTTTACCTTCCAGTGGCAAGCGGGCCGAGTCGCTTTGGGAATTTTTTTCTATACCTGGCTAGCTAGCGGAGTTTGTTTAGGAATTTTCGGCACTCTCGCGAAACTAGCCGTGGTCTTGGGGATTTGCTCTTTCTCTCTGCGTTAGCGGTGATTCTTTAGAAATTGGACTTGGTGGCAAGTTAGCCGCGATTTTTGAGGAAAAATGTGGGATTTGGGCGCGCTAGCCGTGTTTTTTAGGAATTTTTTTGCTGGCCTACTAGCCGAGGTTCTTTAGAAATCCGTTGCCTGGCAAGCTAGCCAAGGTTCTTGAGGAATTGAGTCGTTTTTTGCAAACTAGCCGAGATTCTTTAGGAATTGATGCGCTTTGGCCGGAATCCTTTAGGATTTTCCCGATCGGGCAAACTAGCAGAGATTCCAGTGGAATCTGATTTTGGCATACTAGCCGAGATTCTTTGGGGAGTTTATGCGAATCTGGCAAGCTAGCGGCGATTCTTTAGGAAATGACCCTTCACTCGAAAGCTATTTTCTTCAAAAAATAGCCTTTCTTTGGCAAGCTAACCGTGATTTTTAGGGTTTTTTTTTGTGGCAAAGTAGCCGAGATTCTTTGGGAATTTCTGCCAATCTGGCAAGCTAGCGGAGGTTCTTTAGGAAATGACCCTGTTCCCCCGTGAATTTGTCGTGAGTAAGGGAATGGTGTGTGAGAGTGAGTGTCCCCCTCCTCTGGTTGTAACACTTACGATTTGCTGTTGCTCACTCGCTCCTTTCGAGCATCAGCCTCTCTCTCTCTCTCTCTCTCTCTCTCTCTCTCTCTCTCTCTCTCTCTCTCTCTCCACTCTCTCGACATGACCCAACCGGGGTGCCCACTAGCAACATGTACTTTTCCGGTTCCGCAAATAATTTCTGCTAGCTTGCCTTAGCATTTTTAGCTTAACTGGTTGCCAACTAATCTTCCAACATTTTCCTCGAATTTCCCTGCTAGCCTGCCCCGTTTTTGCGCGGAACCCTGAACCGAAAGTGCTATTTTCGAGCCTTTTTCAGAGCTAAAAGCCGTAAAGCCTTTTCTTTTTTGCTTTTTATGGCTTTTTCTACTAAACTGACACCCAGGCTATCTCCTGCGATATATTTCTTCCAAGAATCCCTGCGAGCCGACCCCGTTTTTGAGCTGAATTCGGAACCGGAAGTAGCCTTTTCGAGCATTTTCAGAGCTAAAACCGTTAACAAAAAGGTGTCTTAAGGTCAAGGTCAAATTTTCCAATTTTTATAGCTTTTTTTAGCTAAACTGACGCCCGGACTATGTCTTGCGATCTATTTCTCCCAAGAATCTCTGCTAGCCTGCCCTCTGACCCTGGATTTTGCAGTTTTCGCGGACATCCTCTTTTCTAACCGATTACGACGTTATTTCAGCGATTTTGAAGGGATCAAGAAATGTGAGTGGTTGGGAATGTCATCTTCTTCCTCCTCTTCCCTCTATCGCTATCGGAGCACGAGCTCGATTCGTGGATCGACGGCGAATTATACGCCAAGGAGTACGAATACGACTAATACGACTACGGTAAGCCATTTTAATGGATTTTGAAACGAAAAACGCGGCCAAAAGCTTAAAAAGGCCAATTTTACCGGGGTTCTGTCATTATCTCGAAAATCAACATCTCGAAAGTTCATTATCTCGAATATTTCCGATATTTTTCAGATTTCACGGTTTTCTCGGGCCGTTTTACCCGCGCAAACAACTTAAACTGACGCATTTTAGCTTCGCCGAATCATTTAAATGCTTCTAGAAATACAAATATCTATTTTTTTTGCAGTCAATCGGCTCCTCCTCATCTGCTGCTTCACGTGCTGGTGGTCGTGTCTCAGTTCGTGCGTACAGTGTCGAGCCCTCGTCCCGGGATACTGTATCCACCTATTCGACGCGATCCGCTATACCGTAAGACGGTTTTTTAGCTAGAAAAAGGTGCAGGCCCGAAAATAGATCCCTTCCCAATCAATTACGTCATTAAAATAGCTAATTTTCGTGGGATTTACGATATGAAAAAGCATTTTCTAATCTCTTAGACCATGTAATCGCTCTTGGGAATCGATTACGGGATCAAAGTAGATATTTTTGAATAGATTACGCTATGAAAATGGGCTTTTTTCAGTAGATTAGGCAATGAAATCAGCATTGTAAATCGATTGCGCTATGCAAATCTACTTTTTTTGAATAGATTTCGCCATGAAAAAGCTTCTATGAAATCGATTAGGCCAAGAAAATGGAATTCTTTGGTTACGCTATGAAATTGGACGTTTTCGAATAGATTACGCTACGCAAATCGGTTAAAAAAAATCGATTAGGCGATGAAAATGGGATTTCGAATCGATTACGCCATCAAATATAGATCATCTACCTCATCAGCCCTGTCCCGTTCGTATAACGCTTCTGCCTCGAATGTCAGCCCATATTCCAGGACTGCCGATCGGTAAGACACTTTTTCGGGTAAAACCGCTTACGCTATCAAATCTTTAGCGCTAACCTGGCTTCACAGTCTCTTTAAAAGAATCGGATTAGCTTAACTGGCAGCCAACTCGCATTTTCTAGAAATTTCTAGCCCGAAACCCCTACGTTTAACCAATTACGCGTTGAAATTCCCCCAAAATCGATTACGACGTGTAATCCCGATGTCACGGTCCCTTTAAAATCCCGCAATTTTTGCCTTTTCAGGTATTCGAGCAACGATTCCCTGTCGAGCTACCGTCCCCCATCCACCACTACAAACTACAAGCCGTCGGGACTCGCGTCGACGGGAAGGAGTTCAAGCCTCACCGGCTCTAGTAAGAAAGACGCTAAGTTCCAAACTCCAGATTGGCACTGTTCTGGACCAATTTTTTTGCGCTGATCCCGAATCTGCAATTCAATTTGTTATTAGAGCCAAATTTTTTGAGGTTTTTGACGTTAAATCGAAAAATTCGGAAAATTTTTGAAATGTTTTGAAGTTTTTAAGGGAATAAAATTTAATTTAAATACGAAACAAAAAGGCAAACGTCAAAATGTATACCAGATTTGAAATCAGCGCAAAAATTGGTCTTAAAAATTAGGTTTTATTGGAAAAGGTACAATTAAAAGGTTTAGTAATGTTCAAAATTTAAAAAAATCAAAATTAAAAGTTTTAAAAATTAGATAAATTTGCAAACATATGTAAATTGTAAACTGTTTTCCAGGCTATTCGTTGACATCACTGAGAGATCGAGCCGCGTCTCCTTCCCGGGAATTCGATCGATATAAACCACCGTGAGTACCCGGAGCGTATCGATCGACTATCGATTTTTTTCATAACTTGCTAAATCGCAGTAAACAAGCATGGATTCTTGGCGGAAATTGTAAAATGGCAGGCAAAGAGCGGAATTTCGCCCTCAAGTTATTTCCCTTATCGAGGGCAGGCTAGCAGAGGGCATTTGCCGGATTCGGATGTAAAACCTCCATTTTCATTTTTTTCTTTAGAGACCGCGAGAGTTCGATCCCGAGCAGCAGATGGTCGATACGGTAAGCGGCACCGTTTTAAATAGAATTTTAAAACTACTACAGGTTTTGGAAATTTTTTGGTTTATTTCCACTTGTCACCACCCCTTTAAACCTTCAGGGATCGAGCTTCAAGCCCTCTACGCGATGGCCTAATGTCCCGATCGACAAAGTGGGTGTCAGTTTGGAGTTTGGAGTTTGTGGCCCTGGGTTTTGCTTTTAAAGGGAGAGCGACAGGTGGAATATTGCTTTTCACCCAGCTGTCACGCTCGCTTTAAAAACCACAAAAATCGATACTCGTCATGCAACACTTTCAGCGATCGAGCCGCCTCGCCGAAACGCGAATATTCACGAGCCCGCTCCAATACTGTGTACGTTTTTTGCGACCTAAATTTTGGGAAAATGGCGTAATCGATTACGGCATGGAAATGACACTGTCTAGTACCTTTAAATGGGCTGAATAATTTAACTGTCATCCAGTTCGTAATTTTCTGCCATTTCTGGCTCTAAAAATGAACGTTTATTCAGTTACGCGAGGTAATTCATCAAACGATTACGCCATTCAATTGATATGGAGTTCATCTAAAATGGGCTGAAACGTTTAATTGCTATCCAGTTTAGCACTTAGAGCCAATTTCAGCTCGAAAAATTTAATTCCTAACCAGTTACGCGAGGTAATTCACCGATCGTGGCGTCATTCAATTCATATGGCGAATCCTGGCTTGCTAGTTCCTTTAAAAAAGCGGATGTAGCATACTGTCATCCAGTTTGCAATTTCCAACCATTTATAGCCTAGTAAATCCAACGTTTAAACGATTACGCAATGTAATTCCCGAATCGATTACGTCGTTAAATGGTCCTTTTTTCAGGGAGCGCAACCTGGGCACCACAGCTGATAAATCGCTCGACAAATACAAAATTGACAACCATTTTTCCAGGTAAAACGGCAAAAATTTCATAATTAATTTAATTCTCGAAAAGGTTACAAAATTCACTCGCCAATTTTAGTAGCTACGCGCCCACAAAATCGAGCTCAATCAGCGGCGGCTATTCAGGTGAATTTTCGTAGGATCGGATTGATAATAATTTTTTTTGTAGGCTACAGCAATCGTGGGATTGGCACGGATTATCAGACGACGAAAAGGGACGCGGTAGTCCCACAAAAGAGGGACGAAATCGAGGAGCGATTCGAGCTGCTCTACAATAAATACGTTAAAGATGGTAAGGGCACTTTTTGTAGCCTACAAAAATTTACCGTTTTTAAAGGGCACGTTCAGGGACGTTTTTGGGCAAGAAAGCAAAGATTTTTGCCGCGGCCGGGGGTCGAACCCGGGCCTCCCGATCGGGAGACGCGGTCGCATACCAGTCAGCTATAGGTGCAACCTGGCGAGGGGCCGAGGGGCGCCCCACACCGGAAAGGAGGGGTATGGTCTCCCACGGCAAGGGCAGGCAGCGCGCGCTGTCCCTACGTCCATAGGGTGTATACGTTGGGACGGGTACACGGCCCCTCCCTGAACGTGCGCTTTAAAGGGATGGTGACGCCTAACAAAACCCTAGATCCCAAATTTTAGCCCCGCCCCCATCAACCGATAAACTGGCGGCCACGGCGAGGGAAGAGGTGAGTAATAAAAATTTTTTTTTCATTGGTTACGCCACCAAAACAGGCATTTTGGATTGATTACCCCATGAAAATGCAACTTTTCCAATCGATTACGCCACGAAATTCCGGTCGGATAACGGATCTGCTTTTAGCGTGTTGTCGATAGAAGCGCCTCGGTGACACCCACCCAAGAAATGATGGATAAAAAAGGGGCGGAAGACGAGAGAATACAAACTACGCAGAGAAGAGTGGGCACCACCAGGACTCGAGTGATCCTCAAAACTGAGAAAGGAAGAGGAGGGGATACGGTAGCGGGGGCGATCGATAGGATGGATGGCAGAAGGGAGCCAGCAAACACTACGAATGCTCCTAATGACGGGAAACCCTCAGAAAATTCGATTTTCCCCCAAAATACCGCCAAAATCGATGAAAAACTCGACGAAACTGTCTCTAAAAATGGTCTCCAGAAAAGCGCGCCACCTACCGTAACCCCCAAACTGACAACCGGCGAATCGATTATGCGCGAGAAATCGGCCGAAATACCGATTTCCGAAGATTTGCCCGGGATCCTGAGCGAAATTGCCATCAGAAAGAAGGGGAAGGGGATAGTTGGACTACAAAATACACCTAACGACGGAGGAATTGGACTACAAACCACACTTTCTGCCGATAATAAGGTATTGTGATCGCGTACGATGTGAAATTTGTGATTTCTAGGAGACGACCGTCTCGACAATCGATTACGCCAGGTAATTCGAAATCGGGGCAGGCTAGCAGCGTTTCTTGGGGAAACTGAGGGAATGGGCTACGGTAGTGGGTCGATTTTTTACTTTTCAGCCGTCCTTCCATCGTCATTTCTTCCCATCAACAACCCCAACCAGGTCGGTTTTCATCGCGTAATCGGTTTCTCTAACCCCGATTTTCATGGGGTAATCGGCCCACGCGTCAGTAGTTTCCGCGCGTACTTGTCAAAAATCGAGTTATATGGTGTAAGCGGTTCTGAAAATGCCAGTTCCATGGCTTCCGCGGTTTTTTGAGGCCCCGATTTTCCTTGCGTAATCAATTGTGCCAAACCGCCAATTTTGCTCGGGTAATCGGTTTCCTAGAGCCGGGTTTTCATGTCGTAACCGGTTTGGAAATTTCCATTTTCTGCGCGTAATCGATTAGTCTTATTGTTTATAGAAAGTAATTGAAAAAAGGCAGGAAAAACGGTAATCGGTTTGGAAATCGTCCTCTTGAGTGCATAATCGTGTTTTACAGCCTTTTTACAGCGCCCCGAATTTTATACCATAATCGATTCCTCTAAATTCCTATTTCCATGGCGTAATCAGCTAAAAAATATATGGTGTAATCGATTAGGATGCTTATTTATACAGCGGAATCGGTTAAAAAAGCGTTTTTGTCGATTTTAGAACGCCACGAATTACGCATCGTAATCGATTTTTGGTAAAACCTGATTTAAATTGCGTAATCGAGTCGCCTGTTTATTTCTGCGCGTAATCGATTAAAATCCCCTATCTCCCTCGATTTCAGGGTCTATTTTTCGGGTCGGGGCTTTTCCAGGGCTAGTCGATTCATGGCCCCCGGCACACATTACACAACCAACCAGAGACAGACCAGGGGGGCATCAGAAAAAACGACCGGGCAGGCGAGCTGGCTGGAATGGCACCCAGATTGCCCATCCACACCCGATGCTTTCTCGAATTTTGCGAGTTTCATGTCGTAATCGATTTGAAAACCACCGAAAAATGGAATTTCGGATGGAAACGCAATTTTCATAGCGTAACTGGTTACTTGATACCGTAGTCTTACCGAAAATCGGTTAGCTGGCTGGAATGACACCCAGATAATCGACTTTCACCTTGCCATTCGCGAGAATTTCAAGATTTTCATGTCGTAATCGCATAGTGAAGCGGAAAACGGCGGCTGACCGCGATTTTTCATCGCGCAACTGGTTGTGATGCCGTAATCTTGGCGAAAATCGGCTAACTGTCTGAAATTGCTGCCATCTAGCAGATTTTTATTGCAATTTTCTAAAAACTACATTTTTCCTACCGTAATCGATTGTCTTGTAGCGTACTGTAACCAAAAAAATCGTAATTTTGTATTTTTCCAGATTCTACAAAAACTCCAGCTGCCGCCAATAAAGGCTCCATCCCGATCAGTAAGTTTTTTAATTTTATACTGAATTTAGCAAATTTTAAAGCTTCAAAAATTTAATAAATCGAAAAATCGAAATTTCACTAATCGATTACGCGACCGAATCTCGAATTTTGACTTCAACGGGCCTTTAAAGGATTGCAATCGATAACCTGGCAGACAGTTCAGCCTGCCAGCCGATCATCGATCATTTCCTCACTGCCCTGTGCTTCTCGTATAGCCTGCGGGGCCCAAAAAACATGGACCTCCTGGCTGGCTAGACCCCCCTCCTTCGAAATATCGATCGATCGCTGAGGGCCCAATAAATCGGGGTGAAATGCCGAGGGTGTCTTGATTCGACCAGCTGTCTGCCATTTCGCATGCCAGCCCCATTTTCGGGGTTCTTTAAAGGGCCACTGAAGTCTCGCGGGGGTTATGGATTTTGGGATTTTGGGATTTTTTTAGAAAATTTATTTAATTTTTGAATTATTCATATTTTTCCAATTTACTGTAGTTTAAGATTCTTTATAAAGCCTAAGAAAATCGGATGTCGTTTTTACCTTTTTAAAGGGCCCTTGAAGTCTGGAGGGTGGCTATGGATTTGCGGGTTTTGAATTTTTTTTAAACTCATTTAATTCTCATATTATTTTTTTAGTAAACCGGCTGAGATTTAAATTTGTGTTAAAGCCTTAATTGAAATGAATAATCGAGATTTTTGCAAACAAAAATTTAAAATTTAAAGCAGTCTTTTCGAATTTCGAAAACGGCATTTTTAGGACGATTTTTCTAATTTTTTAATTTTTAAGGGGAGAAATAAAACTTACACTTTGTAAATTCGTTATTTTTAGGAAAACGGCAGGGACGAACGCTGGAGGATCTGAAAGATTCGCTTTTGAACGAAAAGAAAATGGATCCGATGGAGGTGAGAGGCATAGCAGAGAATATTCGGGAAATGGGGCGGGCAGGCTAGCAGAGAATCTTTGACGGATGTGAGTCGAGAAAGTCGGAGCTGGCAAGCGAGCAGATATCATTGGTGAAATCGGGAGGCAAGCTAGCAGCGAATCTTTGCGGAAACCAGGGCCAGAGAGCAGAGATACTTGAGGAATTCTGGGCTGCCTAGCAGAGTCACTTTGAGGACAAAAATCGGAAAATTCGAAGCTGGCAACCGAGCAGCAGTTCGTTAACGGGCAAGCTAGCGTGTAGAATTTGCGGAATCTGGAGGCAGACTGGCAGAGCTTCTTTGAGAAATCCCCAACTAGCAGTGACCCTTTGCGAATTGCCTATTTTCAGACCGAACCCTCGACTTCTTCATCCTTTCATGAATGTGTCATTTTGGTAGGTTAGGGTTATGGTAGCTGATATTACTGTATTCCAGGATGACGATAATTCGGGCGAAGACCTCTGCACGGCGGCCACTATTTCAATGAATGACTCCAACAGGGTACGGTATTAACATTTCCCTGGATTTATGATCAATTTTAATAGCTAAAAAAATTGTTTTTATCATTTTAGAGGATAGTGACACCCAAAAAGTAAAAAAAAATACACCTTTCCTGCCGTCATTCTATTAATTGGCTGCCAGTTTAGCCGTCAGACTCGAATGATACGGCCCATTTGGGCGCTGACCCAAATCAGCAGCGCTGCCGAATTATTTTATGGGTAAAAATGCGAGATTTGTCATTTTTGCGTTTTTTTGTTTTGTTTGTAGTTTTTGTTGCTTTTTTTGCTTTTCTGTACTTCAGTTAATATTATAATTTCATCACTAAATTCAGCTTTCTATTAAATTTAAAATCACGGCTTCAATCATCGATTCTTCGCGATTCTGGTACGATCGTTTTTGCCTTCGGTGGTTCTTTAAAAAAGGATAAAAGTTTCTGATTTTTTATTAATCGCTTGGCTGGATGCCAGTTTAGAGTTTGAAGTTAAAAATCCTAATTTTCAGCCTCAGCCTGGTGCGAGTTCCGGAATTTGCCCACCAATGGTCATGGTCACCCAGGTAAACATAGTGTTGTTAATTTTTTAAACAATTATCTGATTTTTTCGTCAGCTCGTTTTGTTAAGCTGGGGCTTAACATGTTTACAACAAATACAGAAAAAATCTAGGCTACAAACTAATACCACAACCAAAATTTTTGCAATCTATGGATGGAGCCTCGCTTCAACGGCCCTTTAAACGTCTTAAATTTGTTTTTATGACGCAATTAGATGGAATGGATGCCAGTTTCGCGAATAAACTGGTTAAAACACGAGTTAAATGCAAATTAGCACATTTCAGCCCTCCCAACCGAACACCCCGATCGGCGAGGGGCAATTCTTTGGGTCGGAAGAGGAAGAAGCCTCCGAATCTGAGGAGGGAAGCGATGATGTCGAATCGTTTACGGATGACTCGGATGGTATGCAAATTACCGTAATCGAAATACGTTGAAATATATGCAAACGTCGATGAAAAAGTCTGAAAACCTCGAAAACTCGACAAAAAACAGTTTTTCCAAATTTCGCGTGTCTTTTTTAGCTTTTTACACGTTCTACGGTTTAATTGGCACTCAGAAAACCGAAATTAAACACTTTCACGCAAAAAGCAAAAAGTTTGCACGGGCGGGGGTCGAACCCGGACCCCCAGATTCGGGGGCAAACGCGCTAACCACTACACCATGTACAATTTTCTAAAAATGGTCCACATTTGCAGTGTACGAGTCGGATTTCGAGTACAGCGTCTCGGAGAGCATCCCGTTTTTGCCGTCGATGGCAAAGACAGGTAAGGCTAATCGATTACGACATGGAAATCGAACAAAAACTCGGAGAAACTGAAATTTTTTAGAAAACGGCCCAGAAGGCGTTGGAGCAGTTGTCGAGAAGGAGTTGCCCTTTCTGGAGCACAAGTCAGTCATAAATGATTGAAATATAGCTGGAAATTTAATTTAGGACGATTTTCACTTTGGATTTTATGTTTTTGAAAAAAAAAAATGAAATTTTTCTATGCTAATTTAATTTTTTCGAATTTTTAGTCACGAAGATTTGCGAGGGCGTGTCGAGTCGCTGCTGGCCCACCCTCCCCCGTTGCCTGTATTCACCTGTTCGGTGACGTATGACGGACAAATGTCGGCGGCCAGCGGGGTACGGTACCCAATTTCAATATTTTTCTATTTTTGGGCGAAAATCGTGCCAAATTTTTCCTAGTTTTGTGGTTTTCCTCTTTCTGCCACCCAAGGCATTTTTTTATAAATTAAAATCGACTAAACCTACCGTAATTCCCGAGTTATCATTAACATGTCGTAATCGTATCACTTTCAACAGCTCAATCCATCGATTCACGCCAAATTCGATAACTTTTCTGAATATTATCCATAACTGGATGCCAGACTACAGATTCCACGAATTTCCGCTGGGCTACAAACTACAAATGGGGAGCTATGAGCCTAAACACTTTTTTTCCAGGATTCGTGGGGCAGCGCCGACGAGGGGGATGAAGAGGAGGAGGAGCAAGAGCAGGAAATGGGTATGCTTTCTTAGCGGATAAATTTCCCAAATGATTTCTGCTGGTTGCCCATGGTTCCTATAAAATCTCTGCAAGTTTGCCGATATTTCGGGAGTGCCGAATTTTTCAAAAACCTGAATCTTTCAAAAAATTTCGCAAATGGCCTCCGCTAGCTTGCCCACTCTTCTCAAAATTCTCTCTGCCGGCCAGTTTACAATTTTCAAAAGCGGTTCTGCTAGTTGCCCTCGGTTCCTATAAAATCCCTGCAAGTTTGCCGATACTTCGAAATTGCCGATTTTTTCAAGAATACGCAAATTTTTCCGCAAAAGGCCTCCGCTAGCTTGCCCGCGCGTTTAGAAACTCGCTCTGCCAGCCGGTCTACAATTTCCGAAAGGGCCTCTGCTAGTTGCCCCTTGTTTGCTAAAAAATCTCTGCAAGTTTGCCGACATTTCGAAACGGCGATTTTTTCGAAGAAACGCGAAATTTTCCGCAAATGGCCTCCGCTAGCCTACGTCGAGGTTCCAAACATATTTCTGCTAATCAGTTTACATTTCCCCAAAGCGTCTCTGCTAGCCAGCCCTTCTCTTTTCCAGAATTGGACCGTCAAACAGATGATGGAAGCTATAAGGGACAGACAGTTGGAGCAACACTGACACTTCTACAAAAAGCCGCAATGAAAGAAGATGGGCAAGAGGAGGAAGAGGATGAAGATGAAGACGAGGACGAAGAAGACGAATTTTACGAATCTGATCAGGTATCGATTAAAAAGAGACTCAGGGTTCGACCCCCGCCCGCGACACAACGTTTTGATTTTTGCTTTTTCGGAAAGTTATGAGTGAAAGTTGGCTTTTCAGTTGGACAGCTAAGTCGAGAGTAAACTCCATACGCAAAAATAGGCCTAATTTGAAAACTTAGAGGCAAAATGGGGTTTTTTGGTCCTAGTAAAACACTCGAGAGTTCAGCCCCCGCCCGGGATGGTACTTTTTGCTTTTTGGATTATCAACTTGGAATCGGCTAAACTGACAGCCAGTTAAACCAGTAACACGTTTACCTTAACGAAAAACAGTTTAGTTAGCAAAATCCAGCCTAAAAGCGTGCTTTTGCGCTTCAGGCCAACCCTCGGGGGTTCGACCTCCGCCCGCGAGATAACTTTTTGCTTTTTGGTTTTTGAACCTGAAATCGGCTAAACTGTCAGCCAGCTAACCCAAAACCAAATATCATCTACAAAACAATCGAATTTACCGACGTTACAGTACTCGGAGGAGTCGTACTCAGAGGACGAGGAATGGAGCGACAGTTTCGTTTCGGATGAGGAATCAGCTGCGGAGGTATTGCGCATTCTATTTTTGCCTAGCAGTTTGCCAATTCATCCGGTTATAACTTCGCATTAAAGGAAATGACAAGGCAGGCAAGGTCTAGAATCCATAGCATTGCCTTGCCGGGCCCTTTAAAATTTGATTTCAGATGGACAGCGCTTCCCTGTCGTTCGAATCGGTCTCCGATGAAAAGGTATCATATTTTCTGTTGATTTTCCCGCGATACGCGACGCGCCTGGCTGCAACAAAAAGGGTGTAATCGATTACGCAATGTCACGCAGCGCGTGCGCGTCGCGTGCTGCGAAGCGGCGCGGGAAAACCGTTTGTTACGAAGCGATACGCGATGCGACCTCCACACGCGTCGCGTATTCCATTCTGCAGCGCTTCCGACACGCAGCGCGCACAGCGCCGGACCGGCATAGAGCGGCGTAATCGATTACGCAATGTAACATAGACCGTTGCGTGCCGCGCCGCGGGAAAGCTGTTCGAAAATGAGAGCCGCGCCCGCGATACGCGACGCGTACGCCCCGCCTATAGGCCATGAAGTGGCGTAATCGATTACGCAATGTATGGGGGGGCGCGTCGCGTGCCGCGCCGCGGCAAATCCCGAATTTTACCTTCAGAGTCCCTTTAAAACTGCTTTTTTCCAGTCAGAAGCGGTGGACTCAGACGCGATTTCTGCCTCTCCTCTCTCGGTCTCTCCATCCAGGGATACGGTACCTCCGGGACACCTTTTAGAAAAATCAAAAATTCCAGAATTTGGCCCAAATTGAGAGTCGCCTGGCCACGTCGATGGTCGCCGAAATTCAGGATCAGGTAAAAAAAAATCGGATTATAATTTTTAATTTACAAAATTGGAATTTAATTAAAAATTTTATTTTAGATTTAAAAAAAATTGAAACTATTAGCATTTTCAAAATCTTTTTTGATGGTTTTTATTAATCGGATTTGACGAAAATTCGATCTTAAAATTTAAGTTACGCCTAAAATGAAAATTTCTGAGCCAAAAACCCCTAAAAATTGAGCAGAAAAAAATTTCCAGAAATATCAGTTTTAGCCATTTTTGTAAAAATTTGTAATTCTTTATTTTGCATCATTTTCACGAGAATCCTTTAAAATCAACTAATCTGCCCTACAGTACGCCTTAGAAAAATGCAAACGATAACATTTAACTTAACTACAATTTTTAGGAAGAGACTGAAGAAGGGATTCTGGAAGAGTTGCCCTCCGAGTCGATCCTATCTACAGTACCCCGAGAGATTCCAAATGTTGAGGAAAAGGTACCGTGGATGTCAGTTTACGCATTTGACTGAAATACAGTACGAAATTAAGCTAGAAAAAATTTAATAAATGCAAAAAACACATTTTAAGGGCGGCCCGGTGATTCTGATGGAACCGACATTTGTGAAGCCACAGGAGGGAACGGATAAGGTGGGAGAGTGCTGAGAAATAGAGAAATTAGGCAATCGAACTATCTATAAAATATAAAAATTAATTCGGAATCAACAAAATCAAAATAAAAAAAAATTTCAAAATTTTGCCATTTTCTTCGAACTTTTCGATTCGATTACGCCATGAATTGGATAAAATGGGCGGCACTGAAAAATCGCGGCATATGAAAAATCAATATAAATAGCTTAAAATATTTTCAATGAAATTTAATCAAAATTAAAATTAAAATTTTTGAAATTTTGAATTTTGTCTTTTTCACGAATCTTTGCCATTCGATTACGACATAAAATTCCTTTGGCTTCAACGTGCCTTTAAAAAGCCGAATGGCTAAACTGCCAGCCAGACAAGCCAACAACGAGCAGAGAGCATTTAGGAAACGACGGCCTCGCGATATTTCTGATTAATCACGATTTTTGTTATTCGATTACGCCATGAAATTCCCCCCTGGCTTCAACGGTCCTTTAAAAGAGTCAATCGCTAAACTTGAACGCAGACAACCTGATAACGAGCAGAGAACATTTAGGAAACGACAGCGTCTCGATATTTCCCCTCAAAACAGCCGACGACGGATCATGCCCGAAAGGCCGTCATCCAGCCCACAAAACTCGAAAAAGCCCAAGTTGCCTCGGCCATCCAGACCAATATTGGAGCGTGAGTTTTCTAAACTAAATGTCATTTAAATTCTACCATAATCCCCGAAAATTCGACCATTTTATCAATATTTTGGGGTTTTCGGGCTATCCGATTACGCCATGAAATTCGTTTGACCCTTAATTTGCCAAGCTGTAATTTGTAGGCCAGTTTAACCGTTGGCTTTAAAAATTTGGTTAAACTAGACTTGCCTGGTCCTTTAATGCCGGCTGAAGATATTCGATTACGACATGAAAATTGAAGTTTCTCGCTTGAAAAATTGTAGTTTGTAGTCACCGTTTCTGGTTCAAAACTTATTTGGTTTGTAGTTTGGAGGCCAGTTTAGTGATGTCTTGAAAAACCTGGCAAACATTCGCTTACCAGGCCCTTTAAACCCGTCCGAGCTCTTCTGATTACGACATGGAAAAAATGTGGGGGAATTTTGGTATTGCGCGTTTCTAACCGTCAGAAATCGTAGTTTGTAGTCCAGCTAGGTGAATTCAGGCACCATATTGGCAAAATTATGGTTCTAATTGATTTTACAGCCCCGTAAAGCCAAAATCTACCGCCGAGGAGAAGCCGAATGCGTTCGGGTCGACCCTCGAGAAGATTGTGGCCGCGGGAAAACTGCCGGAAACCACCGGAAGCCCGCCAAAGGTACCCAATTTTATGCAGATTTTGGTGAGCTAACTTTACAGTTAAAATTCAAATTTTGCTCAAAAAAATCAGAATTTTCGAAAAAATTACAAATTTTCGGCTCATTTTGTATCTAAAAACGGTGTAAAATGCTATAAAAACGGCCTGGAAACTGGTGCCGCTCCCCGCTAAAAGAAAAGCTCCGGATCTCGAATTTTTAGGACAAATCAGCGGTGCGCAAATCGGCGCTGAACATGACCGTGGAAGAGGCTCAGAAAAAGGAACACGCTGCTGAGGTAGAAAAAAACTTTTTTATCGAATTTTCTAATTTAACTTAAAAAAATTTTTTTACGTTTTTTAGGAAGCCGCGAAGCGGTCTGCCCGCCGCTACAACCTAGTGGGATCGCTGGCCGAGAAGTTCAGCGAGGCTGCCGAGATGCCACAGGAGAAACATACGTAAGGGCGATTGTAGCTTGTAGTCTGTAGTCTGTACTTATAGTTTGTAGTCTATAGTTTATCTGGCAGGCAGTGGAGCTGTCGAACCAGAAACCTACCCATTCCCTCCTTTATTTCTCTAGGTCTAGACAGATGGTATTTTCGTGGATTGTAGCTTGTAGACTGTAGTCTGTAGCTTGTAGTCTACGTATAGTTTGTCTTCTGTCTAACTGTCTGCCAGTTAGCCCATCTATCCAAAAATCTCCCCAGTCCCACCTCTATTTCTCTCGTCCTAATGAGACGTGATTTTTGTAGTTTCTAGAAGTTTGTAGTCTGTAGTCCAGAACCTATAATTTGTAGTCTGTGATCTGTAGTCTTATCAGTCAGCCAGTTAACCCATAAATCCACAAACCTCCCCATTCCGTTCCCGATTTCTTCGATTACGACAAGAAAAAGATGTGCACAGAATTTTCGTAGCTTTTGGCAGGTTGTAGTCTGTAGCCTGTCGACTATATTTTACGGTATATAGTCTAATGTTTAATCTGGCTGCCAGTAAACCCCTGGGTCCATCAATTTCCCGCATTTCATCATTGATTTCTCTAGGTGTGGAGAGATGAGATTTTTATCTTATAGCGGTTTGTAGTCTGTAGTCTGTAGCTTTTAGTGGATGTAAAATGCGTAGTTTGCAATCTTTCTGCCAGTTAACCCATATATCCACGAATCTCCCGATTCCCGCCTCTATTTCTCCAGATATCGCCGTTCGAAAGCGCTGCAAAGCCGCGATGAGACGCGTCCTCGAAGACATTATGCTCCGATAATACAACCAATTGTCGATGATTCTTTCGAAAAACAGGCAAGTCAATTAGCAGATATCATTGGGGATTTACTGGCGCGTCCTCAAGAATCTCTGCTAGCCTGTCCGTACGAAAGCTCCAATGTTTTCAGATGGAGGAGCTGCGCGAAAAAATGAAGGCCGGCACGTCGGCATTCCAGAAGGAGTTCACCGAGTTGAAAAAGGTCAGAAAATCTTAGCTGGCTGCCAGCCAAGCTAGTTTTGTAGTTTGTAATTCAGATAAACCACATTTTATTTTTTGTGTAGTTTTAGTCAAAAAAGCGGGAAAATAGGTAGTTTTCGAAATTTCGTAGTTTGTGGTCTATCTGGAGTGACCAATTTGTAGTCTGTAGATCAGTTTGTAGTTTTCAGTACGATTTTTGTAGTTTGTGGTTATATTTTCGGAAATTCTGTACTTTGTAGCCTAACGAAAATCAGCGAATTTGGAGTTTGTAGCCCAGCCAAAATTGGCGGAATTTATAGTTTGTAGTCCAGTTTGCAGTTTTGTATAGTTTTTGTAGTTTGTAGCGTCGTAGAATTTGTAGTTTATAGCGGAAAAAATCGACGCGTTTGTAATATGTATTTTTTCGTTGTTTTTTTGCACTTTGTAGTCCAGCTGAAAACCGATAAAATTCAGGGAATGCTAACATGCGCCGAAGAGCCGAAACTCCGAGAACAAGAAGAAAAACATCGACAATTACTACAACAGAATGCACACGCTATCGGGTAGGCTGACAGAGACAATTTGGGGAATCCTGAGGAATCCCTGCTGGCTTCCCCTCCATGATTCTCCCAAAATTCGAGCAGTTCGATTGGGGCTCCTAAAAAGCACTGCTAGCATGGCGCCGATTTCCCCAAGAATTTCTGCTAGATAGCCCTCAGGTAGAAACTAGGCAGTGTAGCAGAGACCATTAAGGAAATCAGCTCCATCGATTCTTCAAGCCAGGCAAGCTAGCAGTGGTCATTTGGGAATATTAGGCCAAGGAAACTAGCATAGGCCATTCAAGAAATGATGATTTTCGGGTTTAAAAGGCAGGCAGGCCAGCAGAGGTCATTGAGGAGTTCCCAGCCTGACGGCAAGCTAGCAGAGACTCTTTGGGAACTTTTTCAAATCAGGCATTCTGGCAGAGATTATTTAGGAATTTTACGCCAAAGGCTAGCCAGCAGAAACCGCTGAGGAAAATTTTTCCAAGCTAAACTTTCGCTTCAGAAAAGCGGAAGAGGAGAAACGACGCCAGAAGGGGCTGAGAGACGCCGTTTTGGAGAAGGAACTCGCCAAAATACCAGCAAAAGACAAGGGAAAAGAGGAGAGGGCGGAGAAGGCCGAGAAACCGCACAAACATTTGCCACCTGTACGTTTTTTTGGCTTTTTTAAAGGGGCGTGACAGTTGTGGAGGCCAAAATCGGTAAAGGTTGCTTAACGGGGGGACAAACAACGGGGTGGAAACAATTTTTGTATTTATAAAAAATATCCTGCTATTTTGAAAGCGCCATCGGATAGAGCGTCGAAAATTAGACTAAGAAATTTAATTTCAGCCCAAAAAACCTCATTTTCAAGGATTTTTAATTTTAAACTGTTTAGCTTAATAAATAAATAATTTTAAATTGTGGTATTTCGGGCTGAAATTAGATTTAGTATATTTTTCGACGCTCTATCCGATGGCATGCTTGAATTGGCCCGACAGGTCCCTATAGGGAAAAATGGTTTCCACCCCCGTTTTGCCCCCCGTTAAGCAACCTTTACCCCCAAAGTCCATCGAACGGTGCCTTGTGGGTCCCTTTCAAAGGGGCGTGGCCTTGAGAGAAACGATCTTTTTGAGGGTTCTCCAAAAGCCGAACCCAGACGTACGATTCGAAGACTGAAACAACAGGACAAAGAGGAGGCAAAACCGACTGAGGTAAGCTAGCAGAGTTTATTGCGGAATCGCATAAAAATGCCAAACGCATTTTTTTAATTTTTTAGAAATTTTTGTAGTTTTCAGTCCAAAAATATTTCAAAATCGTGAAATTTTGCGATGATTTTTAGGACCAAAATGAAAATTTTAATTTTCTATTTTATGGGATTTATAAATTTCCATAAACCTTTTCTATTATGCTATTTCACATTTTTTAAGCGTGGAAAAATCATTAAAAACTCTTTAAAATCAAGAAAAAAGACCAAAACTCCGAAAACAATTATTTTCTAACTATTGATTTCAATCATTTTTTTGTAGAAATTTTCAGCTTTATTTAAACCAATAAAAATGCTACAAAATCAGCCTCCTTTCAGCCGACCACCTCTGCCGCCGTAAAATCGACCGAAGCCCCGCCCACCACCGGAGCTCTTGGTAGGTCCCGCCGCGATTTACCGTAACCCTCTAATTCTCGAAAACCTCGCATTATTTTCCGAATTTTTGGCGCAATTTTGGCAAACTGCCAACCAGTCTACCGGTTGAAAATAGATTCAGCTGATCTACAGGGAATGCTGCCGTCAGGTAGCCGCTTGAAGTAATCCCTTTAGCCCATCCTAGCATGCCAATTACGTTTTACACCTATTTACACCCATTAGTTCTTTCTTTTGACGCTTATCCCTTGGTTCTCCGTGTTCTGCCAGCCAGTTCAGGCATTAATAGGGTTTTTTAGCGAAAATAAGGATTGGCTGTCGCGGGCGGGGGTCGAACCCGAGCTCCACTGACTGAACGTTACACACCTATTTACACCCTTTTTTGAACACGTTTTCGAGGTCAACATGAGTTCACCTAGTGTCTGCCAGCCAGTTTACTCATTGATGAGCCTTCCGAGCAAAAAGCACCAGGCCCTACCGCGGACGGGAGTCGAACCCGAGCGCCTCTAAACAAACGTTATACACCTAATTACACTCGTTCTAATCACTTTTTTCGCTTAGAAACGACGCTACCTAGTGCTCTGCCACCCAGTCTACTCATTAATGTGCCTTCCGAGCAAAAACCTAAAGCCATTGTCGCGGCGGGGGGTCGAACCCGAGCGCCTCGCAACGAACTTTATACACCTAATTACACTCGTTCTGATGTCTTTTTTGGCTTAGAAACGATGCTACCTTGTGCTCTGTCAGCCAGTTTACTCATTAATCGTGCTTTGGAGCAAAAAGCAAAAATACTGTCGCGGCCGGGGGTCGAACCCGAGCCCCGAAAAAAAAATTATGATTACGATTTTCTTTGTTTTATCTTATCTTTTTTCTGTACCTTAGTTCCTCTAAAAGTGCCTGCCTTATCTGCACTCCTTATTTCGCAATTTTAAAGGGCCGTCGAAGGCAAATATCGATGATTTTCCAGGGCCCGCCAGCGGTACGTCAGCACCAATCAATGCCCCCGATGCCGCTACAAAAAGGAAATCCGCGCTGGACGCGCTCCGGGTACGGTAGAAAAAGGGGGCGTGGCTTAAACGGAATGGGAAGGCCCAGGAGAGGTTACTGTAAAAAAGATGTCACGAAAAATTTTGACAAATTTTGATTAAAAATTGCAAAAAGTGGTTTTTCTTTAAAAAATGGCCGGTTTTTCGCGGATCCATGGAAATCCTGCGGACGCGTTACGTGTCGCGGCGCGGTGTAAACACTTTCAAAAAACAAGTTTCTAAAATCAGGTTTAAAAAAATTTTTTAGACAAATTCGTTTAATTTGAGAATCGTCGCTCCTCTGGGCTGGACATGCCGTCGGATGCACGAGGAGGAGGAGCACCACAAGGAGAAGGAGCAGCCGCCACAAGGATTAGAAATGTAGTGTATAGATACCGTAATACAATACGCTCCAAATTACACGCGTTTTTCTTGTTAGAATTCCTAATTTTCCGGGTTTTCGAAGAAATTTTAACGCATCTGGGCCATTTTTACCGATTTTCCGTGTTTCTAAAAGAATCCCCGCTAGCTAGCCCCGTTTTTCACTTGGCATTTGCCGAACTGGCAACCAGTAAAGCCATTTACAAAATCTTCGCTCAAAAATAATCGCACTTTTTTTAGAAATATGCAAATTCGAGGTGTTTTCCACCGTTTCGGCAATTCTCAAAGAATCCCCGCTAGCTGACCCCGTTTTTGAGTTGGAATTTGCTGTACTGGCAGCCAGTAAAGCTATTTACTAAAAATTTTCTCAAAAATAATCGCAAATTTTTTCGAAATATTGAAATTCGAGGTTTTTTCCGACGTTTCCGGAATCCTCAAAGAATCTCCGCTAGCTGGCCCTGTTTTTCTGGTGTTATTGTTTGAACTGGCAGCCAGCAAAGCCATTGGCAAATGTTCTCTCAAGAATAAACCTAAAAATATTTTTAAATCCCCGAAAATTGCAGAGCGCGCCCCCGATGGATTTCTCGGATGTGTTTCACAGTCAGTCCCCCCCAAACACCCCACATTTTTCGTTCTTTCCCCCCAATTTTCCCCATCTGATATTGCTCTCAATTTTACGTTCAAAAACCCCCGTAAAATTTAGTTAAAAATGATTTAATTTTTGTTAAAATTTAAAAATTTTGTAAAATTGAAAATTACAAAAATTCGATTTTTTAGGCGCTCGGCGGCGTTTCGAAGGGACGGTCGGGAGAGCCGCTGGCAGCCAGTATACAGGTTTATACTAGAATTTTGCAAAAAAAAAAATAATTTTTCGCCTAAAAATCGAATTTTTGGGGGGTTTACACGATGAAATTGCAGGGTCCGGAGGGCGGAGGAGGTACGTGTTCATCTTCTGAGACGACGTCAACACCACGAAGGAGATATGGGCAGAGGAGGAGAACGGAAGAGATTATATTACCGCCAAAGGACCCTATTCCAGTCAGTTTAAATTATAAACTAACCCAATACACTAAATTTATAACAAATTTAAAAAAATTAAAAAGTATTTAAACAACACGCAACGCGCACGTTTTATCGTCATTACACGCCGTAATCGGTTGCGCAATAGAATGTTGTAAGTTCGGCCTGGTTTCCGTTCGATTTGCCGCCCCGCAATACGCAACGCCCACGCCGCGCCTCGCTATCCAAAAACTGTCGTAATCGATTACGTCGTGGAACGCTGGGCGTGCGTGTTACGCGTCGATGGCTCGAAAATCCATATTTCATGCCTTGACCGTCCCTTTAAAGGCATCCGCAACACGAATTTGATGTCGTAATCGCTCGTGAACCCGATTTTTTTGCAGAAAAAGCGTCGCCGCCAACAGTCACGGCCAAATCGGCTGATTCGAACGCCCGGTGATATCGATGTGATATTGGGATATGGTGGAGGGATGACATTTGAGGTGAGTGAGAGTGAGAGAGCACATTAAAAATCGTCACTTCTTTCGCATTAACGGGGAGCCAACTTTTTGTTCTACTATGTTTCGATCGGATTTCCTATTCTAAATCGAGGAAGTATTTCTAAACTGTTTTTTACTATTCCTAAGCTAAAAAATTTACCACTTTTGACTAAAAAATACAGAAATACCGATTTTTCGCCAAAAAATTGCCGATCTTCGACAAAAGCCTCACCTAAAAAATTTTTCCCAAATTTTTAGATGGTTTTTCCGACTTGAAATGGAGTTAAATTTCGCTAGAAAACACTATTAAAATACGCGCGATTAAGTTACCAGTAATAGAAAAACTGCTACGCCCCCGATAATGCAAAAGAACCCTACGAATGAAATTGAGGCGCTCGATCGGCTGTTCGATGACGCTGCGAAGGAGAAGCGAACGAGACGCGACACTCCGCCCCCAAAAAGACCCCGCCGAAAGCCGGCCACCCGCGTCTGGATCAGCGCATTAATGGTAGGCAAACGGCTTTTATTGATTTTCCAAATATAATTTACCTAAAAAATTATTTATTGACCTTTTTTAATTTTTTTTTTTTCTCTTTTTCTTTTTTTTTTTTTTTATATTTATTTTTTTAATATAATTTTTTTTTTTTTTTAATTTTTTTTTTTTTTTTTTAATAATAAATTTTAAAAATTTTAAAAAATAAAATTTTTTTTTAATTTTAAAATAAATTTTTTTTTTAAATTTTTTTTTTTTAATTAATTTAATAAAAAAAAAATATTAATTATAAAAAAAAAAAAAAAAAAATTTTTTTTTTTTTTTTTTTTTTTTAAAAAAAAAAAAAAAAAAAAAAAAAAAAAAAAAAAAAAAAAAAAAAAAAAAAAAAAAAAAAATCCCTTAAGATAAGTTTCAAATTAAAAAGTTAAATTTTCTTAAAATTTAAAAATGTTAATTTTAATTTAAAAAATTTTCTATAGGTCTAATTAAAAAACCCTTAATTACTTACCTATTTTTCTCTCTAGGACATTGACAAAATCTACAAGGCAATCGAGTTGAGGGATATTGCCGCTTCCGTCAATGGATGACACCAATAAAAAGCGAATTCTTAAATTGTTTTTTATTGTTTTCCGCCTTACTTTAATGATTTTATTATTATTATTATATATTATTGTTTTATATTACATTATTATTATATTAATATTTTTATTTTTATTAGTAATTTTATTCCTTTATCATATACATCGTATATCAATAAAAAGCAAGCATTATCGAGTTTTTTTCTATCGGTACGGGCATCAAGCGGAATGGCTCCAAAACTGTGGAACACTGCGAAAAAGAGGACTTGGTACTGGACTGTTAGCGGGGGAGACCAATTTATCTCAGTAGTCCTGTACGGTCCTATAAAAAAATATAAACTATTTTTATGGCATTTTGCACCCGTTTTCAGATCTAAAAAGCTCTTAAAAATTACAAATTTTCGGCTTTTTCGACGTTTTTGGTCGTTCGGCAGTATGAAAAATGGCCAAAAACTCGCAATTTCGGGTTTTGGAAAGTATTTACAATATTTTCAGCAATTAAAAACCACGAAAAACATCGTAAAATCCTTGTTTATTGAAACCCGCAATTTTATAGGCCATTTCCAAGATTTTCCGGGTTTTACGGTCTAATTTGCCCAAATTTCCCCCAGTAAAATACAGGAAAAACAATGAAAAATGGAAAATGGCGCGTTTAGAAAAAAAAAGCGGGCTGGAAGGCGCTCGTAAAATCGCCGTATCAAAGGCTTTCTCGACTTCTCCGTCTAAGCAGGTGACCGTAACCCTAATCAGCAAAAACCATCATTTGGAAACTTGGAAAATGTCTAATTTTGCGGAAAATCGGGTTTTTTCGAGATTTGTAAAGAGCAATCGCCCAAAATAGCGATTTCAAAACTACCATAACCCAAATAATGCAAAAACCGTAATTTGGGAACTACCGGAACCCCGGAAAATGCCGGCTTTTTTGCGGAAAACCGGGATTTTAAAGGAAACGCGGCAAAAATACTGCAAATTGTCGAAAATCGGGCTTTCTGTGGGGCGGACTACAAACCACAAAATGCCGAAATCGGGATTTCCTCAAAAATCGGGGTTTTTCGCATTTTTATTCGGAATTCTCTGATTCCGAAAACAAAAAAACGTCCTTACGCCCGGAATTAACATCACCACCATCCATTCGGCCCTTAAAAATGCCATTTTCGCCGCGATGATCGTCTTCTTCTTCGGCTTCATGCCTGAAAACAGGGGCGGCGAAGTAGCAGGGTTCGATCACTAACCGCGTATCCAAAACGAAGCACATTGAGGTCCAGGCCCACATCCGCTGCGCTGTCTTGCCACACACACCGCCATGCTGCTCTCCGAAATACAAACAAAGGGTTCTTTCGCATTATCGGGGGGGGGGGCACCTTTTCCTTTAACTCCAGAAATGCCTAGTAACGCAATAACAAACTCGTTGTCCTAATAATCTTTTTAGTAAAATTTAACAAGTTTAATTTAAGTGAAACGCGATCAAAAAAACTTAGAAAACATTCTAGGTGAGATTTGGTCCAAAATCGGTAATTTTTGGTTGAAAAATCGATATTTTGATGTTTTTAAGCACAATTTGTAAAATTTTTGTATGTTTAGCGATAGTAAAAACAGTTTAATTTCCTTTGCTTCTCTTGGAAAAATGGGACGCTTATAAAAAAGTTGCCCCCGCCTCTGATAATGCGAGATAACCCAAAGTGAAACTCGACCGTTTCGTTGCGCTATGGCTGCACCACGTTTCGAATCGCCCGTCTCTGTTGAATCACGCGTAACTGAAATTGATTTTTCGTGAAATCGGAAGCACCAAATGGAGAACGAGGCGAATATGCAAAAAGAAAACACAGAATTAATGTAACAGGCCCGGCGGGTTCGAATTTTCAATAAATCCTCGGTTTTTCGCGTTATCGGGGGGCTACCTTTTTCTATTTTTCCTTTTTCCCTTCCTGTAAGTCGAGAATTGCCTAGTACCATAATAGTAGGTATTCTAACAGTGTTTCTGGTAAACTAACAATATTTTAACCGGGCAACCAAGAAAAACAATTTAGAAAAAATTTTTAAGTGAAATTTTGAGCGAAAAATCTATATTATTGTTTCTCTCCGCTATTTATATTGAAAATATCGGTTGCTTAACAGAAAAAGCTCCCCCCCCGATAATGCGAAAGAACGCGTTCGCGAATTCACATGTATCAACGCAGAACAAAGCGAATAGGCAGCAAAACAAACACAGAATTAATTTCAAAAAGAGCGGATTTGAGCATTCTAGGAGATGGAGATCTGAAGGGACCATGTGGCAAAGGTGATTTGAATGGGCGGAGGCACAGGACCATCATTATTACCGTAGATACCGGGACCCGTGGGACGCAACGGGTAGTCAGGGCCAATCATATTCTCACGAAACTGGGTCTCCGTCACCGGGCGCGCGTACAAAATAAATAGCAGGAATTTGGGGCGCAGTCCATTGTTGTACTGATCGAGCAGCTGCCTGAACACATCCCAATAACGCGCCGGCAACGGTTCGTAAGATTCCGGCGTCAGCAGACAAAAGCCCAAGATCCGGAATTGGAATTCGGGTAGAAGGTCGATGAATTCCATGCCGATGTGTCCCAGAAACATCCCCTCGACAGTAGAAAGGACTTCACACAATCTGGGGGTGATTGTGCTTGTCCCATCCGGCGTGTAGAGGACCCATTTCGGCTTCAGCTTCTCGATAACGTCAGCCGCCTTGTCGTCTCGATCCTGGCCACGAAACGAGAGAGTAGCCACTTTCAGCCCGTCCAGACGAATTACACGCGCATCCAGGTGGAAGCACAGCTGCTGAACGTAGGCGTCGCGAAGAAGCATCTCCAGTACTTCGGGTGTCTGGGCGAAGATCGGGGAATCGGGCTGGATGGCGGCCACACAATGCACATCGTCGAATGTCTTCTTCTGCAGATGTTTTGTGGCGTAGAGGAGCTTCTGATGGGATCCGGCGACGGCGATCAGTGTCGGTCCATCGAGAGCTTCCAGGATCTCCAACATCAGCACCGACGGAAGATCGTAGATGTTGAGCGACGATTTGTAGACCTCCTTCTCTCCATCGTCGTCTTCGCGCGCCAGAGCGCGCATTTCGTCGTCAAATTCCTCCAGATCCATTGTTCGCTGCCCGGCCACTTTACCTGAAAAAGAAAAATTGATTTGATGCATTCACTCAACGCCGAAAATCGGAATGGAAAACAAAATATAGGAGAAAAAGGGATAATGAAGCAAATCCAAGACGCGCGTTCCGGTCGAAAATCAGTTCAATCAATTCTTCAAAGAATTCAGCCGTTTCAAAAACAAAATGAACCCTAGATTTTGTCTTTATGGGGGGCGTTAGGTGAGGCAGGTTCTTACGCATTAGCGGGGGAGCTACTTTTTTGCTAAGGATCAAATTTTTCAAACATGAATAGAAGCGGTGTTTATAAACGGTTTTTTACGATTTCTAAACCTAAAAATGTACAGGTTTGTTTAAAAACTATAAAACATCCATTTTTCGACCAAAAATACCCGATTTTCAACCAATTTTTCTTGTTTTCTACAAATATAATTAGGTTTTGCTAAAAACACTATTAAACAACTTATTCTTACGCTTCTAAGCATAAGAACCAGCTGGAAGCGTTTGTTTTTATTCGTGGCTTTAGCGTCGTGAAATCTTTCGTTTTCTTGTCGATCGGCTGATGAGGCGAGCGGCGAGTTTTCTAAAAAGAACGACGGCGAAGTATCAGGGTTCGATCACTAACCGCGTCTCCTCGATGAAGTTCTTCATGTAGTCGTCGAGATGTTGCACCGGGTGTGGCTAGCTGCTCTCCTAAATACAAATCAAGCAGAAAAACTCAAATATAACCTGACCATTTCCGACATGTTGTTCTTCTACTGGTCCCGCAGTTAGATTGCCTCATTTCGCGCGTCCATGACAGATCGGCAACGACGTTTGAGCAGCAATGGGTTCTTATCTTTTAACGGCTATGTCATTTTCCGTCTAGCAAAAACAAAAAATAGTTAAAAACGGTTCAAACCCAATTTTTTTAACTTGTTTTTGGTCGTCTTTCTTACTTTTCCGGCCAAATGTGAAAAAAAAATTCGAAAATTTTGCGTAATCTAAGAACCTTTTATTCAGAAAACTGTTTAAAATGCTATAAAAATGGTTTAGATGGCTATAAAATCATATAAATTAGCTTCCCCGTGTGAAACGGAAAGAACCGGTTGTTGCTCAAACGTCGTTGCTCCTCTGTCATGCTCATGCTCCCCCATTTCACAGGTAGATATCTTCATTACCGCCCGGCGACCTGAAATTTATTTTTGGTGAAAACGATGGAAAATGAAGAATAGAATGGAAACAGGAGAACGCAAAAAATATTGCAAAAGGGTTTCGAAAAGGAGAAGCGCATAAAAATGGAGCTTTTGCATTATCGGGGGGGGACCTTGCTATAGAAATGACAAATTATCGAATATTCAGAGCGTGGGGACTGATGTGCAATTTGAGATCTCTGACATGTTCCCATTTATAAGTGAACCACGATCGGCGGCCATCAAATTGTAACGGATAGTCGAGGCCGAAGAGATTGTCGTGTAGATCATCATCCGGCAACGGGGATTCGAAACGAATTTGCAGCCAAAATCGCTGCCTTTCCCCGTTTTTGTATTGGTCGAGCAGAGTCTTGATCACGTCAAAAAAGTGCTCGGGTATCGGCCCCTTTCTCAACTCGCATCTCAACGTCGCAAATCGCCATTCAGCGATGTAATCGATCAGTTCCATTCCAATCTCTCGAATCCATATTTGTGGAATATTCGAAAGAGCACGGCTCATCCTCCTCGACATTTCCGCCTTTTCATAGCAATATAGGGCAATTTCCTTTGGGCGCAACTTCTCTGTGATGATGGCCGCTTTGTCGAAGGATTTGTCATCATTCCCCTGTAGACTCAGGGACGTTACGCTCAGCCCTTCAATGTCAATCGGCTGCTGCTCATCGAGATTGAATTGCAGTCGAGAGAGCTCTGCGCCGTGGAGCAACACCTCCAATTCGCCCTGTTTCGCATCGTGTAGAGCCGCGATGATGCTGCCAATGCCGACGAATCTCTTATATTTCAGGTGTTTCGTTGCGTGTAATAGCTTGGGATGGATGCGGACGAGTGAAAGGATCTCGGCCCCGTCAAGTGGCTCCATAATTTGCCATAGCATCTCCAAGGGCAGATCGTAGATTTGGGGCGGCGATCCCGTCGTTCTTCCAGCGCTGTCGTTGATCGTCATGCTCACCAGATTGTCGTGTAGAACATCAAATTGTCGCTGATCATCCATTGAAGTACGGGCGGCTGAGTTTACCTGGAAAGGAAATAGGTATTTTGGTGGATTTCCAAAAAATTCAAGGAGAGAAAAAGAAAAACGAACAAAATCTGCGCGTACGAGCGGCCGAAAAATCATCAGAAAGAAAGAAGAAAAGGACTATTCGAGAAAAGAAGTTCCTATAAGTCGCGAGATGCCTAGCAACATAGTAGTAAGTGTTTTAATAGTGTTTTTAGTAAAATATAACTCTATTCTAAGCGGAAATGAATAGAAAACCAGGCTTTTCCTTCTTTCTGACGTCCTCACTGTGGCACGGCGTTTCAGAGCGCGCACGGGAGGGGTGGTCGAGGCGTGGTGTAGTGGTCTAAGGCGGCGGTCCAGCTCCGAGACAGGGGGTGCGGGTTCGATTCCCGAGGCCGCAAACCTCTGCGTTTCCTGAATACCCCCGATTCCCTATCACCTGTTCGAAAATCATCTGTTCGAAAATCACCTGTTCGAAAATCACCTGTTCGAAAATCATCCGTTCGAAAAATCATCTGTTCGAAAATCATCTGTTCGAAAAGACATCTGTTCGAAAATTCATCTGTTCGAAAAGTCATCTGTTCGAAAATCATCGGTTCGAAAATCATCTGTTCGAAAAATCACCGTTTTCGAAGCAACAACTTTTCCAAAATTCACGTTTTTTTGAAAAGATTTTTCATGACAAAAAACTTTAAAACAAAAAACACAAAAAGACTTTAAAAGACATATTCAGACGATTCAGGTTAAAGTTTTGGCGATGTTGTCGAGGAACTCGGCCATATATTCTTTGCTGTAGTTCTCGCAGAGCTGCTGCTGCTCGTCGATGGTCACCCTCGGGCGCTTCTTTGGCTTGGCGGAGGATTCGATATAGCCGCGCAATTTCAGATTTTCCTCGAACTTCCCCAGGAAACACGCAAAACACAGCATTTTAATAGCAATAGCTTCCCATAGAATGTTTCCCCATTTGGGACCTTTTTCGAATAGGTGATTTTTCGAACCGATGATTTTCGAACAGATGACTTTTCGAACAGATGATTTTCGAACAGGTGATCGGCCACCCCCCCGACGCCGAGGTTTAGGCCAGGATTTTGACCCGGCTCCCCAGGAACCCATCTGCTGGCTCCGCCGGTGTGCCCCGGGCAGTCAATGATAACAATTTCGCGCCATTAATGGAAGAGTTCGGTTGTTTGAGGCTTTGTAGAAATTCTTTCAAATTTGTAAAAGAATGTTTTACAACATTTACTATTATAATAATTATACGGTATACAACGCATATTAGCGAGTGATCATGCCCTAAGCGAAGTCTGAGATTCTTTTTCAGTCAACTTATATGGAAAATGGAGAGTTTTACAAGACTACCAGAACTATACTTATGAAGCTATTCAGACGGATTTGAGAATCATCCTAAAGACTTAGCAAAGCGCTTCCTTGCACAAACGATGTTTAGGAATTCAGCCATGTCCTTACACGGTATAATATGCAACTCAGAGTCTTCATTTTAACCTGTTTGACCATTTGTGCTAAATTTAATAACAGTATTCGGGAATAATTAAAAATTTACCGCCCTAGAAACAAAAGGGGGTGATGAATATCTGAAACCGTATGTGCTCCTGGTTACATCGTGGTCGCCAATAAGCATATTACAAATTTTTTAGCATGTTTTTTACATTATACAAGCATTACTATGAAGCCTCAAATAACCGAACTCTTCTATTAATGGCGCCAATTGTTATCATTGACTACCCCGGGGCACACCGGCGGAGCCAGCAGATGGTTTCCCGGGGAACCAGGTCAAAATCCTGGCCTAAACCAGTGGATCCACCCCCCCCCCTGGAAATCCTCAAGAACCAAGTTTTGTATAGTGACCTGAAAGTCGCGTGCTGTGCAAAAAGCGGTGAAATTTTCGTTGCGCAAACGCTTCCCATTAATTTATTAGTCAGCAAAAACACAAACAACAATTGTTTTTTAAGAAAACAAAAGAAAACATGAAGGAAATCGAGAGGAGTGATAGAAAATAGAAGATGAGAAGAATACGAGAAGACAGCAATGAATGTGGGAAGAAGAAGAAGAAGATCAGATACCGTGAGACCATTATTTCATTTTACAAAACAAATTCGAATAAATAGATTGCATAGAAAAGGGAGGGGGATGGAGAAGTGTAGATGAACGTCTTGCCGTTGTTGTTGCAGCAGAAGCGGAAGTGGGTGGGGGGAGGGGGGGCTATGCTTGATCCATCGCCTCGGGTTCCGTCTAAAAAACACGGCAATTTCATGAAATCCGCGTTGAATTCGTGGGCTTATTTTCAAAATGTCGAAATTTACATAGGCTAAAATTGCCGGTAAAGTCGCCGAATCCTAGGCAAAAAAATGTTGTCGCGAAATAAGATAAAAAAATAAAATGTGGAAATTTTTTGGCTAGGAATTGGCGGCTTTACCGGTAATATTAGCCTACCAGCGCCCAACACCCGCTTCGCGGGCCTTGGGCGCTGGAATTGGGTCTTTGCATGAAAAATTGGACTTTCCGATAGCTCGGGCCCTTCGGACTCCCTTCCCCCACCGACCACACACGCGCGGGCAAATTGCAAGAATGAGGAAATTTGTATTTTTTCATATTATGCAAATTACCCCCAAAAATCAATAAAACCGGCTTTAACTTTGTTAACTTGTATTTTATCGGGATTCTGAAAGCGCCATCGGAAAGAGGAGGGTCGATTCCCCCGGGTGACGGAGAATTAGGGCATTTTGGACACGGGAAGGCCCTCAAATCGGGCCTCGAAAGTGACATCCACACACACACACACAGAGATACACCCCAAAATTATATAAGGTAGGATGTAAATTTCGACATTCTGAAATTCGACATTATGAAATTCGACATTATGATACCAATTCAAATTCGTGTACCTTGGGCTTTTTGGCGTCATTCTCGCCGGCATCAGCTGTTCTTTTGTGTGATTGGATATCTCGTGTACCCTCATTTCCGCCATCATAGAATTCGCTCGCGTGTTCAACCTGCAAAAAAAATCAAGTGACCGCGCGAATCAAGCAATCAAATCAAATCAAGAAGGCCTGGAAAGAAGCCATCGACAAGAACAACCAAGAGAAACGAGCGATCTGGACAGTGAGAAACTGCAAAGTTACTCGTCGCCAATATCCTCAGGGCACGGAACCATCCCCATGGACAGTTCGCCCAATCAAAAATTCAACTTAATCCAGCTACTTCTACGTCCCATTCGCTCCATACGCTACTTATTAATTCCTGCTTGCTCTACCCTAATATCTCTAGTCTAAATGCCCTTCTATTATTCAACCATTACGATTTTCTTCCTGGGCTCATTGAATCGCCGACCATCGCTGAGCCTTTCAGCGTTCACCAGTCAATCGATTTCTATATTTTGCTTAGTCACCATCGGCCCATTCCCCTCCCCGCAGGCTAAGAGATTTCCTCCGTGCCTCCTTTGAAGAAATAAACCGGCGAATAGCGGGGACCAATCGGCTTTTTCTATTTCGCAAACTACACTATCGCAGAAGAAATTCGAAGAACATCTATATTCGCTAATTTTGTGCCCTGGGTGTCTTGCTATGCGATGACTTCAGCTGCTCGCCAAATGTGCAAGACTTCGCTCGACGTGTATGCTACCGGTCGCGTAGGTCTCCTATTGTTCGGCATGTACTCAATCCAATCTCGAACCATTGAACCATAGGAGAACCGCGGACTTTCTTTTTTTTTCTCTTTCACAAGATTCCTTCTCATATGTCTGAAAATACTTTCTTTAATGCTGCCCCTCTAGAACCCGTGGTCCTAAAACCAAAACCAAAATCAGCCCTATACTTGCTCAAAAAACCTCTGTCAAAAGCTTTCTTCTCCTCTCGCGTAGATGCTCCCTTAAATTCTTGTCCCCAAACTGCCATTATATTCCGTCTAAAGTCTTTAAAAATCATCTTTCTCGACTTATCCACATCTCCTATCTACTGTAATGGTGTTCTCGTCATTCTACTCTTCTATTCCATTCCCCCTCTTTCACATCTTCATAATATTTACAATTAATCATAATTTTCCCCTTATTTATCTATCCTCTCTACCACTCTATTTACACCTGATTCCTCACACTGTAAGAGTTGACTTTGTGAACCTTGTGTTGAGAATAAATATTATTATTATTATTAAGTAATTCCGACTTTTTGGTCCAAAAATGTATCGAAAAGACGAAAAAAGCCGACATTTTCGAATTTTCAAAATTTTTACGGATAGTTTTATAACTTTCTAGCTATCAAAAACTGCTAAAAACACTATAAAAATAAAGTCAAATAAAGTAAAGTAAATTAAGTAAACAAAAATGACCGCGGAAATCAACCTTTTCGGTTGCTAGAATAATCGGTTCTGGGCCATTAGCGGGGGAGATTTTGATGATAAATAATGTAAAAAACAATGTAAAATGTATGTATTTTTATAGTGTTTTTTAGTAGGTTTTGATAGTTAGAAACTTATAAAATAAGTTTGTAAAAGTTTTGAAAATTCGAAAATTTCGACTTTTTCCGTCATTTGCATACATTTTTTGTTCAAAAATTTTTGTTGCTTTTTACATTGTTTTTCTGTATTTAAAAACTATGTAAATGGTATAAAACGGTTGCTGTTTTGTTACAGGGCCGTAGAGAATTACAGTCCAAATTGGGCTCCCCCCGCAAACAGTCCAGAACCGAATAATGCCAATTTGTCAAAACGGTAGCCTTTTCTCGAGAAAACGGCCAAAATCCATACCATTTTATCCTTGATGGCGGTGGGTAGGCGTTGATCTGGATCGGTATGATCTTCTAGCAATGATCCATCATCCATTCCCGATATCGCATCATCCCCTGAAAATCGAAACATTATACACATCAGCAAATTCGGCACCTAGTCGCACCAAATCCCCAGAAAACTATATTTTTTTCGAAAATTTCAAGAAAACTGTTCGGGAGGAGTGAGCTGATCGGAAAGAGCACGGGTTTCTGAGCCAGATCGACTATTTAAGTGCCGCAAAATATTGTTCCATGTCCTCCCAAATGGCCTCTAAAGTCCGATTTTCGGCAATTTGCGTCAAACAAGGCAGCGTGGTGTAGTGGAATTGCGCGCGGCCTACCACGCCTTCGGATCCTGGAGAAATATAACTTTTTGCGTTTTGGTGGTTCATCAACAAAACATCTTTCTAGGCTCTAGGTGTGCGAGGGTAGGCCTGGCTCTCGCGCTAGCGCCGCAGACCAAAGAAAACGCCCTTGGTCCAGGCACACGCGCCGCATGCCAAGTAGTGGAGAAAAATCAGTAACTAGCGCCGCAGGCTCAAAGATTCTAGCGCAACGCTGGCTCTGGCGCCGCAGCCACAGCATCGGTCCCTTAATCAGGTTCTTGCGCGGCAGGCTAGAAAAAAGAAGGTATTCCAATTCATGGTTCCTGGACGGTGTCCAGTGGAAAAGCGCCGCGAAGCGGGCTTTTTCCACTGGTACATAAATATGGCCAAAATTGGTTTGGCACCAAATGGGACTACATGGGATTTACTAAATGGGAAACCCCATTAAAATCAGGGCAAATGGCTGTAAAAAACAGACGTATGGGTTGCATCTGGACACTGGGGGCGGCGGGCAGTTCGCGTAGATGTTCAAAGATGCGTATCTGCGTCTTCTCGAGATATTCCCTCGTATTCTGATTGGTCATGCTGCCCGGCTGGATGTGTAGTTTGAAGTCGGGCCCAAAGTATTCAAAGTAGTCGTTGTACGGCAATTCGTTCGAAATCTCGGCTCCCAGGGCCACCGATGTCTCGTATGTCCAGCATCTGAGAACAACCCCAATTATTATTGGGAGCCGACTTTTTTTTGCTAAGGATCGAATTTCTCTAATAAAAATAACGGAAAAGTTTCGGAAATATTTTTACGGTTCCTAAACGGAAAAAACTTTAAAAATTGAATTAACAAAACACAAAAATATCGATTTTTTTGACCAAAATTTCACCTAAAAATTTTTTTGCGTTTTTTTATGGTTTTTCGCCTGAAATACAATTAAATTTTACGACAAAACCCTACCAAAAATTCTCATTATTACGGTATCTCTGCAAATCAATGGAAAATCCCCCCCCCCCCCGTTAAAACGAAAGAACCCGCAAAAAAAACCCAAAGTATCTGGTCGAGAGGAATTGCCCATTTGCACCGAGAATTTGAAACAAAAACCCATTTACACGAGCAGCATTCATAGACAAAAGCTAACCTGCTAACATTGCGAATGGTGTATCCACCGCCGCCAAGCAACATCAACGGTACACCGAACGTCTTCAGGAATTCCACACATTTCCCATGGCCTCTCAGTGTCAAATTGAAACATCCGAGACGATCGCCAGTCAACGAATCGGCTCCACATTGTAGAACGACAGCCCCTGGACGATACGAATCCATCACGCGTTGCATCACTGGCACGAAGATTTTCTGAAAAAAAGGAATAAAAAATATGGGGCTTCTGGATGAGACCCGGCTATTTCCAATGCCAAAAAAAAATTCTGATTTTCATTTCTGATTCTGATCCGGAATCAATTTAACCATGTTTGCAGTAAAATAAAACTATATTTGAACTAGAAAACTATCAAAAAACTTTGAAAATTTCTAAAAGTAGAAGGTTTGGTCAAAAATACCCATTTCGGTCGAGAAATCATTTTTTTTGTATTTTTTAATAAAAATTTATAAAGTTTTTACGTTTAGGAATAGTAAAAAAAACAGTTTATAAACGTTTAGATATTGCTCAAATTTTCTGGAAAAAAGAGACGATGTATTCGGAAGAGAATTCAGAATTCATTACCTCATACGCATCATCATCAATGCCATCCCTCAATGGGAAATTGAGCGAATAGTACTGTCCGCCCTCAGCGCCGACATCTTTGATATCGCCCGTTCCCGGGAAATATTCGCCATATTTGTGGAAGGAACATGTCATCACACGATCCGTCGTGTAGAACGCTTCTTCGACGCCATCCCCGTGATGTATGTCAATATCCACGTAGAGGACGCGCTGAAAAAGGCGGCAATCAATAGGTAATTAAAGGGTTAGGGACGGCATAATGCAATCGATTACGCGCGGGAAAGAAAATGTCTCTGCGCCTCCGCCCTGGGCGCGCACTCTGCCCTGTTGGCTATTTGCCAATTTGTTGATGGGGGGATCGACACATGCCGTCGGCAGCCCTTTAAAGGCGCTCCAAAATCTTGCACACGGCCCCCGCGTTGATTCCTCAACCGCAACGCGACCGCGCCGCATGGTCTCTTGCCCCCGTGTTTGGTCGGGAAAACGCTTGAAATCAAAAATTCTGACGTTATTTCTGGAATCCTCAACGAATTTTGAGCATTCTAGACGTTGTAATTATGAAAATTGATGAGAGAATGACCGATATCGAGAGATTAGGTGCCGCACAAGGCATTACGACATGTAATCGTCGCCACTCAAAATATCGTTTTCGCCCCGGAAACATTCGGGTTTTACTAAAATCTTCTACGTTTTTCGTAACCTGATTTAGGCCTGGCTCTCGCTCTAGCGCCGCGGGCCCAAGCAAAGGTCCTTGGCCCAGGCTTTCGCGCCGCGGGCCAAGGAAAAGGTCCTTGGCACACTCTCTCGCGCCGCAGGTTGAATTCGGAAGAAAAAGCAGTAGCTAGCGCCGCAGGCTCAAATTTTCTAGCGCAACGCTGGCTCTGGCGCCGCAGGCCAAAGAATGGTTTGACTCAGGTTCTTGCGCCGCCGGCAGAAAAGAAGCTATCCGAGTTCATGGTTCCTGGAAGGGGTCCAGTGAAAAAGGGCCGCGAAGCGGGCTTTTTCCGCTGGTTAAAGTGATAAAACGAACCTGATGATGTTTGAGAAGTTCGAGTATGCCGAGCACTATATCATTGGCATAGCAGAAACCGCTGGCCTCGCTTTTCTTGGCATGATGGAGACCGCCCATCCAATTGATCGTGATGTCCGAGTGATTCTTGTTCAATTTACACGCCGCAGCTGCAGAATAATATTGAGATGAAGATGGAGAGGGAAAGGTTACCAAGTGATCCGCCACAACTCAATTGACAAAACTCGTAGACGCCATCGAACACCGGACAGTCCTCGCCCACGTTGAAGCGAGACATCTCAAGGAAAAGCCATTTTTTAGGTAAATTTGGTTCTTTTGCAGTATCGGCGGAACCCTTTTCTAAGGATCTAATTTTTCCAATATAACTATAGAAAGTGTTTCAAAACTTTTTTACTACTCTTAAACGCAAAAACTTAAATAAAAACGCAAATTTTGATTAAAAATGCAAAAAAAATCGATTTTTCGACCGAAATTGCGCGATTTTAGACGAAATTTCAACTAAAAAACTTTCCTAAGTTTTTTTCGCTTAAAATATAGCTAAACTGTGCTAAAACAGAACTAAAGCACTTAAGATGCCGTTACTCGGCACTTCTGGCCCTCTAGAAAAAAAGTTTCTGCCCCAGAAAATGCAAAAGAAGCACGACTTTCACGGAAATGATACCTGCTTGCTGTTGTCGGACATGTTATCGGGGCGGATGTTCTTGAGAAAGAGCATGTAGTCGTCCGAATGGTACTTGGTCATCTCCTCGAACGACGCGGGCACGGGACGCTGAAAAAGGGGGGATAGAAAGGGCCTCTGCAATCATACATGGTAGGGTGTCTGATGTTTTTCTGACCAATGGTTTTTACATAAATCACAAATTAAGCGTTTTTACGCCTTTCCTGGCAGCCGAACGACAGATTTTTGAGAGCCGTTTGCGAAAACACAGCTTCGATAACGCTTGAACCGGGTAAATTGCGATTTGGACAAAAAATCGTGTTCTTTTTGCATGAAAAATGCCGAAAATCGAGCAAAAAATTCCGACATTTCGAAAATCGGCCAGACGTGCTGGACTCGCCTTTTTGAGTGCTTTCGACAGATACCTAAATCGTAAAAATCGGACAGGTCTGCGGCCGCCTGGGGGAGATTTTTTTCGGGACACTTGTAGCTTGTAGCTGGTAGTTATATAGCTTACATATACTTCCATCTTCCTGTAGAGACCATAATTGAGCAGTAGATTGTGGGTCATGCGTATGCGATGGGGCTTCATTGGGTGTCCTTGGCCGTAGTAGTAATTCCCCACATCGCCGTCATAGTAGTAGGCGATCCGTTTCTTCGACATTCGGCACCCCTGAAAAAACGCCAATTTTATTTCTCAAAACACATACAAGGTAATTGAACGCGAGAAATGGAGAGAACACTGGAAAGATCACAGAAAAACAAACAACAATCAAGGAATGGGCGAATTTCGGCAAAAAATAAAGCACAGTTTTCTTTTCTTACAGATTAGATTTCGGGTACTGAAAATTTCAGGGGCACTAAAAAGTCTTGCCTGAGCAGCCTAGAAGCAAGTTTTCTAAGCTCTAAGCTAGTTTTCTACATGGAATTTGAATTTCGCACTTGTAAGCTATAAAAACGTTATTTTACCCGTCAAGAACTTAAATTTAGCGTACAAACAACAAAACGTCACAGGCCGGCAAAGAACGTCGAAAAATCCATCCGGCTGCGATTTTTTGCAATTTGCAGTCTAAAGTTAGTTCCGATAGTCTAAAACATGAAATTCGAGCTCCGCACAAAAATAACTAGCCGGGAACTTGCTTTTTTTCAAAACAGACCGATCGGGCAAGTTTTTTAGCGTCCTTGGGGGCCATCCAAATTAAACAGCTCCACAATTTCTAGCTCTAGGGGGTTGTTTTTACAAAAATCAGACACGAATTGAGGGGAAAGGGGGGAAAGGGGGGGATAATGAAACAAAGCGCAGCCATGACCCTGAATGTTTTTTTTGGCGACTGGATGACGGTGGATACTTTTGAATGCGGAAGGGATGGAGTGATGGATAGAGAGAGGGAGAGCATTGAGAGACAGAAAACAGATATGGCGCGCATTCAAATGTGCCCCAACAGCAGCCCCACACGGTCATATGCCCACAACGAGACGTTTTCCCCGTGACAATCTAGAATCTATGGGGCCGATCTTGTGCAGAATTTTCCGCTGATTCCGAATCGATCTTCAAAGGCTGACAAACCGAGCTCTAAAAAAGTTATCAAGGTTTTCAGCGCAAAAACAGGACCCAAAATGCCCAATTTCCAGAAATTTTTTACTTTTCGGGCCGAACATCTTCGCCAATTTTTTTTAAATCAGGTCGTCTCGCAGATTTTAAACATCGATTCGGAAACAGCGCAAAATTTCGCGTGTGAAAACTGGATTTTCACGGAAAAACGTCTTCCGGCCAACCAGACGGCCGCCCCCAAAAGAGAGAATGAACAAAACGAGAAAAATGATGTGATATCTTGGGCGGATGATTGATCAGTAGACGTGCACCATGCCGTAGAAGAACACCCAGAACAGGATATAGGTGAAGAGGCCAGACATCAGCGAATGAGTGACGGATGAGCTGCGATCCATGAAGTATTTGCCCCACGAGAAGCCCGATTTCCATTCCCAGACGGCCGCCTGAAAAAAAGGGCAATAAATGAGTGAAAACTATGCTGTTTCTGTATTTCCGCGGGAGCAACCGGATTTTTCTTTAGAATCCAATTTTTCGGATAGAATTAAAGAATGCGTTTTTAAACTGTATTTTTGTCGTTCCTAACTGTAAAGTTGTAAGATAAAAAACTGTAAGGTTTTTCGAGACAACACATAGTTTTTATGCAAAAAGCAAAAGATAGAAGCTTAAATCGGCAACTTGAACGACTTTTAAATAGAACTGCGCAGCAACATTCCAAAACCGAAAACTTACAAAAATAGCGTTTAAACGAAGAGTTTCAAGTCTTTTACTACTCTTAGCACGTTACTACATGGTGGAATCTCGCCGGAAATGCCGGAAAATCCACGAATCCCGATCACCTGATCGAAAATAACTGAAAATCTAGTTTTAACACACGTTAAAAGCCTAGGAAAACCATAAATTTGTTTGAGTTATTTTCTATCAGGTGATTTTTCGAGCAGGCGACTGCCAACCAAAATCCACGCAAACACACCTGTATAAGAATGGTGACGAAATAGAAGATGAACCCGGGTATAGCCGTCAACCCGAGAATGCCGGACGCGATGCCAGCGCCGGCGGCTTGGCATGTCCTCGCGTATTCCAATACTCCCGCATTATTCCTCATGGCCATTTCGGAATAAACGGGCTGCCGTCCCTCATCATCCTTCGTCGCGGCGGCCCCCTTCGAGTTGGCCCTGTTCCGCGGCGGCATCGTGTTCAGCTGGTGGGCGAGGGCTAAATTTTGGGTTTATTCCATTAAATAGCCATAAATTGTGTCACTATATAAGAAATAGAGAGAGGCAAACAAATGACTAATCGATCATTTACACGTTCAAATTATGGGGGCCGGTCAAATGAACCTATCGGGGGTGGGGGGGGATAAGACTTTACACATCACAATCCAAGAAGAACAAGCGGTGACGCCAAAAAGAAGAAGAATCAACGGAATCTGAGACTACACAAGCACAACTCTACCAACTAGAGAAACAGAAAAAAAAACAGAAAACTCGGGCTGAAATAAGGCAGCGAGAGACGGGGGGAGGATGAGCATGAGAGAGGAGCACGAGGTCTTCTAGTAGGATCGAACTTTTGGCGGCACCCAATCGGTCTCGGATTTGTCGAGCGTCTCATCAATGACAGGACGATAGGACAGTTGCACCTCTCCAGTCTCCGTATTCTGATTGATAATCGTGTGCTTCCTCCAGTGATCGTCAAAGCCCTTCTTCGTCTGCCCGTCCAGCGACTTCGAATAGTCCAGCTCGTCGAGCCGATCCGGGAAATCGTCGCGAGCATGGGCTCCGCGAGACTCCTTTCGATTCTCGGCGGCCACGATCGTCTGCGTGGCGTTGATGAGCAGATTCTGGAGCTCGAGCGTCTCGACGAGGTCCGAGTTCCAGATCATTCCCTTGTCGGCGACGGTGACGTTCTTTTGGTCTTTGTAGAGTCCCTTGAGCACTTCCACACCCGCCTGCAGCACGTCACCACGACGGAACACGGCCGCGTGCTTTTGCATGGCTTTTTGCATGCTGAGACGCAGCTCGGCGGTCGGGATATCGCCCTTGTTGTGGCGGATGGCGTCAATGTTTGAGACGGAGGCCTCGCCCGCACCCTTCGGAAGATCCGGCACCGCCACCCCGGGCTTTGTCTCCTAAAATCAAGGTATTTCAGGTGCTTTTACATTATCGGGGGAGGTTTTACTTAGAAATCCAGAACGCCTAGCAATAAAATAGCCAGTATTTTAGTATTTTGGCAAAAATTGCTAAATTTCCAAGGGAAAAACTCTATAAAGACTTGGCAATTTTTTAAAATTTGGAATTTTGGCTGAAAATTGGTCCTTTCCTACCAAAAATGCTATTTTTTCCCTCGTATTTTCCTCAAAACCGTGCAGAAATTTTTCAGCAAAAAGTCGAAAACGACTAGCACACTGAAAACTATGGAAAACCTCAAAAATTTGAAATTTCCACCGAAAATTGGTCATTTTATGCCAAAAATGCTTTTTTTAGCTTTTTAGCACCAATTTCGACCGCCACAAATTATTACCTGCAGAATGGTGTTGGCGCAGCTGCGGCCAAAGACGACGAGATCGAGCAGGGAATTGGCGCCGAGACGATTGGCCCCGTGGACAGAATGGGCTCCACATTCACCGGCAGCGAATAGCCCGGGCACAATCTGGTCGCCCTTCTCCTTCGTATACTGCAGCACTTGGCCTCTCCAATTCGTCGGCACGCCACCCATATTGTAGTGGACAGTGGGGAGGACGGGGATTGGCTCTTTCGTCACGTCAACACCGGCAAAGATCATCGCCGTCTCGGAAATGCCTGCAAAAGGAGAGGATCATCAGAAGATTCCTTGGCGCTTATGTGTTAGCGGGGGGGGATTTTTGTTTTACGGTCAATGCTTGTGGTAAAAAAATCCTATTGTATTTTTAGGCCAGACATAAAACATCGGAAATTTTTCGAATTTTTGATCAAAAGTCATCTATTTCGAAAGATTTTATAGTTCTCTGGCATTATCGGGGGTGGGGTAATTTTTTCTTAGGCTCCAATTTTCGTAATATAAAAACCGGTAGCGCTGCTAAACTGTTTTTACTATGACTAAACGTAAAAACTTTACAAATTTTGATTCAGAAAACAAAAAAAAATAACGATTTTTCGACCAAAAATTGTCTTATTTACCAAAAAACCGCGAATCTTCGAAAATTTAGAAAGTTCTCGAGTTTAAATGTAACCACATTTACGATAATACTAAAAAATGAGCTATATTAAGAGGCTAGGCATTTCTAAACTTGTATAAAAATTTGTTCGCCCCTCGATAATGCGCAAGAACGATTTTCCCAGTTTTCTTGAGCTTTTGATATCTAGGAAAAAAACAATGCGAAATTCTAAAAAAATAGTTGAGAATCCGTAAGGGATTTCCGAAAGAAAAATCTTTTCTACGGCGCCACATCGAAAAGGATACCTGGCAATCTCTGGGCGAGCTGTTCGGCGGGCAAATGGTGAAGCTGTAGGTAGATATGATCCTTGTCTGGCCCGACACCTCGTCCCTCCATTATCTCAATGGTCATCGATCGAGAGACGACATCACGAGACGCCAAATCCTTGGCCACCGGTGCGTATCTCTCCATGAATCGCTCGCCCTCCGAGTTGACCAGGAAACCGCCTTCTCCGCGAGAACCCTCCGTGATCAGGCAGCCAGCACCTACAAAATTAGCAGGTTAGATTTTGCTTTCAAAACGAGGCTGGAAGGGTCTTCTATAAATAACCAGGGGCCGTTAAACATTTTTTTTCTTTAGGATACGATTCTCTTAATGTAAATAAATGCACCTTTTCAAAACTATTTTTAGTATCAAAAAACATAAAGAACAGATCTGGATCACGGAAAAATGTACGCTGGAAATTTCAAAATTTTAAACCCGCTTCTAAGACTTCGAAATATTATTTTTCCACTCAAATACATACGAAAAAGACGATTAAAATAATCGCTATTCTGGAGGCCTATGGAAAAATCCGGCTGCTCCCACTTTCCAATATCCAAAGAGCCTGCCAATCGACTTTTGGATTCTACCGAAAACCGCCGCATTGTAACGTCTATTTAACGGGTTTTAGCAGCTAAAACACACCATAAATGCCGGTGGGGTGGAATTGGACGAACTCCATGTCGGAGTTGTTGATGCCAGCGCGAGCGGTGAGCGCCGTTCCATCTCCAGTACAGGTGTGGGCGGATGTACAGCTGAAGTATGCTCGTCCATATCCTCCAGTTGCCAGCACAGTGTTCTTGGCACGGAAGCGATGGATGGATCCATCTTCCAGATTCAGCGCCACCACTCCCACGCACGCTCCCTTGTCCATGATGAGGTCGAGGGCAAAGTATTCGACGAAATAGTTGCAGTCGTATTGCAGGGAGGCGCCGTAGAGGGTGTGCAGCAGAGAATGGCCCGTACGATCGGCTACGCAGCACGTTCTAGAAAGGATAATTTTCAAACAGGTTCTTTCGCCATATCGGGGGGCTTTTTACAAGGAACTAATTCTCTCAGGAAAAGACAGGACCTGATAAACGGTTTTTTGTACTCTCCTAAACGTAAAAACTTGACAAATTTCGATGAAAAAAATACAAAAAAATATCGATCTTTCGACCGAATCGCCACTAACGATTTTTCTGCATTTTTCCACTTGAACTATAGTTAAATTTTACGAAAAACGTAATTAAAACATTAACTATTGCCTTACTAGGCATTTCTAGACTTATAGGAAAACGCATTTTCGATTTTTTCGATTTAGATTTATCGAAATGATTTTGTTAGACGGTTTTTCGACTTAGAATACAGTTAAATTTTATGAAAAAAAACTTTAAATTACTATCGGAATAGCCCCCGCCCCGATAGTGCGAAAGAACCTAAAAAACGATACCTATGCGCCTGGCCGCCCCTTCCGAAATCGTTGCTCTGCCCTCCGAAGGCCCGTTGATAGATCTTGCCGTCGTTGGTGCGTGAGAAGGGCATTCCATAGTTCTCGAGTTCGATGACAGCCCTCGGTGCCTCGCGTGTCATATAGTGAATGGCATCTTGATCTCCGAGCCAATCCGATCCCTTGACCGTATCGTAGAAGTGCCAGCGCCAGTCATCAGGATTCATATTCCCGAGGGCGGCATTGATTCCTCCTTGAGCAGCGACAGTATGGGAACGGGTGGGGAACAGCTTGGTGATGACGGCAGTCTTCAGTCCGCCCTCAGAAAGACCCATCGCCGCGCGAAGACCAGCTCCTCCCGCTCCGACGACGATCGCATCGTAGGCGTGGTCGACGACCTGGAGAAGACAGTATGCTTGTTTTGTAAGCACAAGGAGCAAACCTTATACTCGGCAATGTTGCTCGTCTTCTCGGCCTTTCGGGTCGTCGACGTCGAGAGGGGACGGCAGGCGGGCAGCCTCGAAGCGGAGGCGAGACGGGACAACATCCTTCACACACCACCCTCCAGCACAATGTGCCTCTAAAAGAATAAGCGAATTTCTGGCGGAACAGGAGAAACCAGAAAATAGAAACTCCTCCATAAAACATAAATCAATTTTGACGCGCTAATACGAACGTTTCTCGCGCCGATTTTCTAGGCAATTAGCACAAAAATGAGCATCAGCTTTAGAGGAGCTCAAAGTAAAGGAAAGTATCATTCAAAAAGCTCTATAACCAAAAGTTTATAAACTTTTTTTGTTTACAGCGTATTTTTGCGCGTCGCCGATTTTGAGACCTTGGACCCAGAAATGCAGGGAACATGCACGATTCAACCAGCTATTGCCCTCCCGCGTAGCCGTTCTCCCAAAAAGCAATTCTAACTTTCTAAGCCCTTTTTCCCTTGATTTTTTGTTTTTACTTCATCAATTTCGCTCTAATAAAATTCAATTGTTTTAGATGTGGTTGCGGCCACTGCTTCGCCACCGCATCGGCATCGGCTTTCGGCAATTCGCCTCAACGGCGGCAAGTTCATTTCTTCGGTCCTGATTGTTTGATTTTAAGGATGCCACCTCCTCTGAGATTCAGCCATCCGAAAGTGCCCAGAATCTGAAACGGATCGGCCGAGCCCTCGAATCGTATCTACGGCAATCCCGCGAGGTATCTATTATACCATCTGGGCTGAACTCCAGATCCCCCCCCACCTACCGTATCTCGGCTCCCTGTTCACCTACACGTGTGTAAAGTATACCAAAATACTCGCCAGGATAAGGCGAACATTTTGGTATAACTCTCACACCTGTAGATGAACAGGGAGCCGAGATACAAAAGTGGCCGGCTGGGGGGGGGGGGGGGGATATCTGAAGTCTTACCCCATCTGAATTCATCCTCTTTTCCAGAATTCGAACATGATGGCCCGCGAGCGAGCGGAATTCGATTTGGGCAAACGCCATCTGGCCAATATCATGGGAATCGACGCGCATTCGATGACACAAGCCGATATTGACAAGTTGTCATAGTTTCTGATACTAACATCCGTTTTCCAGGGCTGTGGAATACCTCTTCCCGTCCGGTCTCTCCGATAAACAAGCGCGACCCGTGATGAAGCCACCGGATGAGGTCTGAGGCTTTTCTCGCAATCCTCAACAAATCCCTTGCTCTAGATTTTGCCCACATTCAACAAATACAGCTTTGATGATGAGGGTCGACCGGTCGATGCCCGTTTCTACACATATCACCCCAAATTTTACACTCTTCTTTCGGTAATCCTCTTCGCAATTCTTTAAAATTCCGATTTGTTTAGGAAATTGGGCAAAAGACGCGGAACATTATCCAATTTCACGCGGAATTGCTGCGTTCAAACAAGGATTCAAGGGACGAGCTGCAGACTGTGTTCGTTTTTAGGCTATAGAAAATGACGATCATCTTCAGGACGATGAGCGGAACAGCGTGGCTGACGGCTGAGAAGATGCGGAAGAGGATTGGCGAGAAGTTTAGCGACGAAATGGTGCGACACTGCGATTATTTGGCTATAGATTTTTGTTGTTTTTAGTACGCTCATCTAATTCTGGCCCTCGACCATCTCTCGGCACTTCCCGGTTCGGTGGCTGAAGAAAAGTTTATTGAGAAGGTATGGATTTGATAGATTGTTTTGATTTCAATCCAAATTTAGTTCCGGGAACCCCTGGCGGCTGCGACGAGCTCAAAGATTTTCGGTGTGCCAATTCCGGAAGTGCAGATTTGTAAGGAGACGAAACGCCGTTTCACTGAAGTCACGTCAGTTGTATTCCGCCTCTTTTATGGGAAGTTTTAGAGTTCGTGTCAAACATACAAAAGCCACTGTGAAAGTCTTCGAGCATGGAACTGGCAAATGGGATATTGATGCCACCGGCTTCTCCACTTTTCGATCGTTGACTGTTCGGTATTATTCTAATCGATTCACTTCGCGTAAATGTGCTTTTTAGAGAAATTCTTCTCTGCCCGCTGATTGTGACGAATCTGATTGGGCAAGTGGATGTGGTGGCCACGAGTGAGGGATCTGGTCCGTTTCAATCGATTCCTTTGATTCTTCTAATTTGTTTTCAGGCGGTGAAACGGCAGTGCCACGTGCTGTTCGTCATGGTGTTTCACTTGGATTGGCTGCCCTCTTCCCGGCAAATGAGGAAAAGCTTCGATTAGGTGCCAGTCGTCATTTTTGAGGGTTATTTTCTCTTTTTTTTTCAGCCGGTCTCTTGACAACCGATCCACGAACGAAGGAACGAAGCAAAGTCAATCAGCCGGGTGCTCGTGCCAAATGGATCTGGTAATTCATTTTGTTGATATTTTTACTACATTCTTTTTCTAGGAAACGCCGTTGATCGACTGACTGCCGTCTTCATTCCTGCTGCTCCCCCAAACAATCTATCGACAATCTCACATTTTCTGCTGTCTTTTGTTGTATTTTTTTATTAGTGGCTGTTTTTAGGATAGTATCGTTGTTGTGTGAATCTAATCAATAAATTGTCTTTGTAAAGGATTAAAGGAAATGGGCGTTTAAATGCGTGAGACGGACAATGTTTCGACAAGATGATGGAGGGCAGACACGGCTTGATTCGGCTTGATCCCCGTAGTCCGTTCATTGAAAAATTACGAAGAGCGGAATCACGCTTTTCAAAAATTAGAAAAAGTTCTTCTAGATTTTCCGCAAATTCTGGGCGTGTGCACGTGCCTATCCGTGTCCTGCACGTGCACGCACAGAGCAAAGTATGCCTTTTGTCGAACTTTTTGTAAAGTTTATTGCAATTTTGAGCATGTTATTTGAAGGAAAAATCAGACAAATGAATGAATCGGCATACGGGGGATAAAAACGGGGATGGAATTAGCTTTGTTGTTTATTGGGCGGGTTTGGGATGTTTGGCGAGGATGGCCGTCTCTCGGATGATGAAATGGGGACTATCTGTCATGCGGTAAACCTGAAAATATTCTCAATGGCATTGATAGAAGGTAACGAACGTATGGTAGCTCCTTGGTGTATGCGATCCAGATCCATTCTCCCTCCTCCACCGTCATCACCCCGTCTCCAACACGACACACCTCCACCAGGTTCAGATGGCCATTCTGCGCCCGATCGTACTGGAATAAGTTCCTTTGAATAAAAAACAGTTTGTTTACAGGACTGTTAGCAGGGGACGGGGGGATTTTTAGCGTGGCGAAACTATATTTTGATGTTTAGGTTTTTAATAGTTTTTGACTGTTAGAAGGTACAGAAATTTTGAAAATTGCAAATTGGCATTTTTTTTGGTCTTTTTGATGCATTTTTGGCATAAAATCACCCCCCCCCCCCGGGTAACAGTCCAGCACCTAAAAACGTTCGTTCAGATGGGGGGCAAATACTGCCCGTAATAATTTTTTCCGGGAAAACTTACCGTAACAGTGCGGACGAGAAGATATCCAAATGATGGGAGACAATTCTCCACTGGTAGGTCATCATTCACAGGCCGCGGCTGAGTCGTGCGGCACTCTTCCATTTCGAAAAAGATTTTTTTTGGATAAATGGGGGGACACAACGGAAAATGATGATGGCCAGTAAAAAGCTAAAAAGCAAGAGTTGTTATTGGCAGAGATTACAGAACAGGTTTCTCTTGGAGGTAATGCCAAAATGAAGTCAACGCGAGGGGACGCCCGATATTATTGGATATTGGTGTATGGGGGGGTCAGATGAAAGATTAGAGAGCAGGCAAATCGGAGAGAGACAGAGAGAGAGCCAGCAGCTGCACGTTGGGACCAGCAGCACCCTTTGTGGGGCCAAATGGGCCAGAGAGAGAGAGAGCAGAGAGAGAGAGAGAGAGAGAGAGAGAGAGGAGAGAGAGAGAGAGAGAGAGAGAGAGAGAGAGAGAGAGAGAGAGAGAGGGAGAGAGAGAGAGAGCGAGAGAGAGCGAGAGAGAGCGAGAGAGAGAGAGAGAGAGAGAGAGAGAGAGAGAGGGAGAGAGGAGAGAGAGAGAGCGAGAGAGAGCGAGAGAGAGCGAGAGAGAGCGAGAGAGAGCGAGAGAGAGCGAGAGAGAGAGGGAGGGAGAGAGGGAGAGGGAGAAAGAGCGAGAGAGCGAGAGAGAGCGAGAGAGAGCGAGAGAGAGCGAGAGAGAGCGAGAGAGAGAGGGAGGGAGAGAGGGAGAGGGAGAAAGAGCGAGAGAGAGAGAGAGAGAGAGAGAGAGAGAGAGAAATCTACCTTATTGGTCGTTTCTGGAGCAATATATCCTGAGGTGATATATTTGACCTGAACCCTCAGCCATTCCATCTGTCTGTCCTCCAATCAATCGTCTCTCATTTCAAAGCAATCAATCCATTCCACCTCCTCTTCTTCATTATCCATTTCCATCAATTCCCTCAGAGCTAACCGCTCTGCGCAGCTGAAACGTTTTTTAAATTAATTTTTAGTTTTAAAGTTTTTAGGCATTCTTTTATTATCTGGCAGATTAAGTGTTTCGACGGCATCTGACCAGAATAAAATGTCTTTTTTTTGCGGGATGATATTTCCCATTCTCCGCTAGCTTTCAAATATGTTTTTTCTTCTGTAGTTTGTCCCTTCTGCTCCTCGTCTTCTTAGCTTTTCATGTCATGTATTTTGGTTCTGGCTTGTCTGTGGAGGGGAGAAGATTTATTGCGGGGGGGGATTTTGTGAAATCTTCTTTTTGCTGCCGCTATAGGGGATTTTGAGCTGTATTCATAGCCTCTGCATATGTTTTCTGTGCTCTCACTGTCTATCTGCCGCCCCCCTCTCTCTCTCTCTCTCTCTCCCTCTTTCCCTCTCTCACTGGCGGTGAAAAAAGGCCGAATAACAGCCAAAAAAACCATATCAAAATCACCTCCCCCCAACCAATCCGAGCGATCGGGCGAATATTTGACGAACTCGATTGTTCAACGTAGAAAAATGTATAGATTGAATCGTCGAGATGGGTGTCCGCCACAGTCATTGCTACCGTTTCCGCGACACGAACCGCCATCCCGACGACTCTATCATCCACACCCAACGGTAGCGTTGTCCTATTTTTTCGGGTTCGTCTTTTACCGGGAAACAGCTGAAACGGCCCGTGCATTACAGGGTGGGTCCCAATACAAAACACACGCCCGGCTCTAACTTGACGCAGAAGTGTCGGATCGGACCGATATTTACACCATTCGAAAGCCCTTGAAACGGCCAATTTGCAACGACTTTGAAAACCAGGTTTTTATTTAAGGCCGCAATTTTGTAAAAATTGTACCGCTTTTCGGAGCTGCATACAGGCTAATTTGCCTAAAACTCTCCATACAAAATGACCGGGAAGTAGCCGTTAGTTCGAGGCAGAGACTTCATGTTGTTAGCCGCGTTGTAGAATGGCGCGTTTTCGAAGATCGTTGCAAGCTAGCCATGTCAATGGCTTTCGAATGGTGCTCCTCAGGTTTAGCGCCCTTTTCGGTATTATGTCGGCTACGCGGGGGAGAGGGGGGATTTTACGCGGGGGGCTATTTTTTGCATTTCTTTTGCTACAAACAAAACTCTGAGTATATTTTGCGATGCTCTATCGAATGGCGTTCTGAAAATCCCGAGAAAATAACGAAAGTATAAAAAAGGCATGTCTGTTCCCCCCTTTTCTATACCCGCTTTTCTGAACGGCAAAGCTGGGTGCCAGTTGTCTTGTCACTGCGAGCACCGGCAGTCTTCCCCAGATATTGTGGCTCGTGTGTTAGGCAAATTTTTAAAAAGTTATATTCAGGGCGAATGCAGCCCCCTCACCGCCTCGACGTCGACAGTTTGCATATAGAAAGTTGGATTGGAGACTGCAACGTCTCGTAAATACTCATCTTGATTTCGAGGCAAGGGTACGACTACGCGCCGCTTCAAAGGTACGTTACGGTAGATGAGGCTATTTATTAGATAGAACACCCCGAAAGGGCACCCTAGCCGAGGTCATTAGCGAGAAAATGAATAAAAGTGGCTTGACTGACCGCCACTATCGAAACTCAATCCACAAAAATCTGTCAACTAGCAGAGAGCATTGGGGAAATGGATAGACTGCAGGGCAGATTGGTGAAATCGGAGAAAGGCGGGCCATCATGGATGGCTTCCCGAACTTTGCGGCGATCACTTTTGCGTCGTGAGCTTTGCGACACGAATTTTGCGGCCGAAACTTACGGCCGCAACTTGCGGCCCCCGGGTGGCACGAAGCATTTTTCTAGTCGCAGAGTCGCAGAGCAAAACATAACCAAAGGCCTGTGCATAAGCACCGCGCCGCAAAATTCGGCCGCAAAGTTCGCGGCACCGCATCGACCATTCAGAACGGCGAATCGAATCGATATTCGGGTTGCTTTCAGTTTTTCTCGACGTCGGCATTCCCCAGTCAATCATTCTTCCTCGACGCCCTCTACGAGAATATTCACGTTGAAGTGGCCGTTACCAATAATATTTATATACAGGTGGGTGACGCTCGACGACATTACTACATACCTCCCACAACAACTTTTCTCTCCGGCAAAACGGTAACCCCCAGCGTTGGGAGCGGGGAGTGCCCCCCCACGGGCGGTGAATCTTACAACGTCTCTTACTGCAGGGACGCTATCGCGCGCCTCTGCGCCCTAACTACAGTAACCCCCCACCGGCCCCCATTACGCTAGCCTATTGCCTTCACTTTTTGATGGGGCCATAAAACACAGCGTTCAGAGCCATACGAAAAAGGTTCGTCGAGCGGGGACAGGATGGAGAGGGGGTCTCGGCACTCTCGCCCTCCCTCTGGCTGTCTGCCCCCACCCCCGCGCGTTTGAATCATAAATGGTGTGTACGAAAGATTAGCCCGGCTGTCTGCTATCGCGCGCCCCACCCCTCCCCTGCCTGTCTGCCCTCGCGTCTGCGCTCTAGAGCGCTCTGCATCCTGTACCCAGGGGGGGCCCCTTTTCTGAACCATGTGAAAAGTAAATTTTCACAAATCGGGTGCCGTCAGCGATTAAATTGGTAGCTTCCGATTCTGAAATGAGAAATCGTTTGTAAGGTGCTAAATGTTTTTGTCTCATAAAAATAATTAGAGTGGAGCCGTCCAGGTGAAGATTCTAACGGCACTTTTCAACGAACTTTCAAAGTGTTGTGCTCAAAGACCTGAAACCCTCATCCGATCCTTCTTGTTAGCGTTGACTTCGAAGATTGTCTAACGCTACATACGCTACATCCTATTATCTACCCCGCCTGAACTTCCGGAAGCGACATCGAACTGCGGACGAAGCGCCATTACTTACTACTACATACTTTTACTATTACTTTTACTAACTGCTTAGTGCGTAAGAATGTTGACGTCGTAAGACCATTTAAGCTTTACAACGTGCGAAATTATAGCTTTATTTCAAGTATGCCAAATTTCCTACTCCGATTTCTATTTCTTTCTCCTATACTTTTAGTTTTTGGAAAGGAAAGCAATAGGCTAGCGTAATGGGGGCCGGTGGGGTGGGTTACTGTAGTTAGGGCGCAGGGGCGCGCGATAGCGTCCCTGCAGTAAGGGGACGTTGTAAGATTCACCGCCCGTGTGCCCCCCCACGCCCCGAAATCTCGGCGGTCTAAGGGCTACGCGACGCGGCGCTCCTATCAACTCAAAAATGTATGGGGCCAAAACTTTGGAGGCCGATATCTTGAAAGATATGGTCGATCCTAAAAACAGCGAATTCCAGCCTTTTAGAATGGAAGACGGCGATTCTAATGATACTAACAAGGGAAGGTCGTTTGGGTCAGGCGTCAAACCGACTTGAAACTTTTCCAGTGTATAGAAATTCAAAAATAAAGTGCAGTTTCTGAATCTCATTTTTTGCACAAAACCCCAAACTAAAAAGTTATAGGCCTCTGAAGTTCAAGGCACGAAACGACCCGCAATTCTGACCTGGTCCTCATTGTGGCCTCCCGCCTTTTGAAGCTCTTGCGTCGCCCGGACGGGAAGCTGTTTGGCGCAGTAGATAGTTCCGTAGAGTGCGAAACTTTATAATTTTTTGCAATCGAGTTCAAGTTTTTGTTGCGTCTAACTTTTTGCTTTTTGGATTTTACGCCAACTAACCTTAATTTGTGGGAGCAAAAAGCACAAAGCAAAAAGATAGAAAAGTCTTAGTCTCGAAGACTCTCGAAGAAGGATTCTCTATCAACTGGCAAATTTTCAGAAAGATTTGACACCTGACCCAAACGACCTTCCCTGGTAAGCACTAACAAAATTGTGCTCAGAAAGTATCCAAAGGAGGCGGTTTTTGCTGGCGCCTTTGTGAAAAATGGCCAATTCGGAGGGCTAACCTGCTGTCTTTGGTATCATTCGAACCGTAAAATTCTGCTCTGCAATAACTGATAATGGGCTTTCAAAATTAAGTCGGCTTCAAAAAGTTATTGGAGCTTAAAAATTTTGGCGTCCGCGCTACGCCCGGACGGACGGACGGACGGATCCTATTGACGCTTTTGCCCCTCCCGGAAAATTGCCGTTTTTGGCCTGGTTGATAGGCCGTGCCCCCGCTGCACCCCCTCCCAAACCCCGATTGA